AAAAACATCTCAGCATGTGCGGCTCTGGCATAAACAAAGTCCATTTTTTTTGTTACTGCCAAAGCAGTGAAAGAACATTCTGTAAAACGACTCAAAAGGGCCGAATACAAGTGGACACCAAACAACATCAACAAAAAACATGCATCATCTTGCTTCCGCCTCACAATTATGCAACACTTGGTTTTGATCTGTCGCATAAACTACTGGAAAAGCGCGTTGGAGTTGCTGTAATGCGACCAAATGTGGAGACACTGGTGGTGCACCGACAAAATGTCACAAAGAAGGCTACAAAGTAGCTTTCTCTCCTTTCTGATGAGGTCCTGCTCAGAGCGTTGGTGTGAGACACCCCGAAGGTCAGTGTCTAACTCATGGCAACGGCTGGGAGACGCTCTCATGGGAAAGCAGGCATTCTGCACAGCCGAGCTGCACAGCGGCCTGGTTACAAAAACACTGCAAGCCCCAACATGTGGCCCATTCCAGGGGAAGAACGACAGAAATCTAGTGGAAACCCACACCCTGGAGAAAGCTGTGTGGATCTTGTAGCATAACCTGTGGATAACTCATAATCAGAATGCTGCTTTACACACAGGTTCTTATAGTCAGCAACTGTTTATGTTAAAAAAATAAATAAAATTCAACTTGTAACTCTTCATACACACGAGGAAGTTACTGTGTGAACGTGTCTTACAGCACGAGGTGGTAAACAGTACTTTTGCATAGAGGCGTTAAGCAAATGTGGGACCAGATTTACTAAATACAGCAGCCAACGACTCGAATGAAATCTGCTCTGACAAGATTACAGGGCTACAATCCACACCGAGGATGATGAATGGACCCCAAACAGTTCCTGATAAATGAAACAAAACACAATGCAATTCACCTGTAGACGACGGCATCGACATTTTCATCATGTGGGCTGAATCAGATGTCAAGCACAGCAGCAATAATCCCACACTCTCCTCTGTGGTCAGGGCTCTTCATATGTCCAATAAGATCAGGTGCCCACAAGCAAAAGGTGTTTTTATTATTTTTTTTTTATTAACCAGTGGTTTATGCACTTCCTGCACAGTCTGGCCAATTATTTCCCAGAGTTCCCATTGCCAAACATTGATTGCTCAAGACAAAGCAGATGACACAATGGACTCTGCAGCCTGCTCTCAGATCAGAGAGTGAGAGACGGAGCCAGCCTTGACATTTGTGAAATGGATTTCCGATTAGAAGAGTTTAATGTAATTACCCTAAGTATGCTATGGAGTCTGCACTGAGTAACGCATTGATGCATCACGTGGAGGTTCGCTTCAACACTTCAGCCTTAGATAAAGGTTCCCTGCCCTACTTACGTTTAAGAGACAACCCTCACAGTACTACAACACCTGTAGTATTGGAAGGCTGTGGCCACGCTTCATTGTCTGTTACAATGGAAAAAAAAAGGTTTGCCTTCACATTTTATCAAATTACAACCAGAAGCTTGAGTGTATTTCATTAGCATTGCATGTAATTACAAAGACAAAGTAGTTCACAACTAAAATGGCAGTAGGATATCAAAACATTTAAGAAATAGACACACAGACATCTTTAATCTCTGCCCATGGAGGCCCACAAACAAAAATCATCAGTAAAAGACTAAAGCACAGCTGTTACCAACTGAAAAATGGCTGCCCACATGAAGAGGCATTAGGAAAGCAGCAAAGAGGTCAATGGTAGAGATCCAAAGCTCAGGTCAGGGGTGTATGACTGCAGCTTGGAGACCTCCTGTATAATAACACTTATTTTATGCAAACTCCCCAATGCAAAAAACTTATTACATCTCAGTTTCTTATCCTTTTTTCAGGTGATCAAACAATTGGTTTAAATCACTTCTCTACCATGTAGCTAGTTACAGATAAAAAAGGGTTTCAAGAGCAAAGTTTCTGATGTTTTTAGACATCTGAATTAATAAATCAGTTAAAGTATAAGTCCTTTCAAGTTAGGGTTTGTTCTTGTAGACTGGCCTTTAACAGCAACTCCTTCAGTCACAATACATGCTGGGTCACAGGATATTTCATTACCTGAAAAAGGTCAAGTTATGATGTGTAACGTTGGGTTTTATTTTGAAGGGTAGGAGCAAGGTGTCAGTGGCTTAATCTCTCCAGATGAGCTGCAGCTAACCGTCTCACTCAGATTGGAGAATCTGTCAGAACTACAATGACTATCGACTCTAATATATTGTAATGTTGCTCAATGAAAACCACAGCAGCCCTGGAAGCTGGGGCTCTGATCAGAAGAGATCAAAGCTAAACCTTTTAGGAGCTCATGGAAAATGCTGTTTGGCAGAAGGCTAAAACTAAACATCAGCCTGATGACATCATGCGGTAGGGACGTTATTCTGTAGCAGGATGAGGGAAGCTGCTCTGATGGGAAGATGGATGTCGCTAAATACAGGTGGAGGTACATCTTCCAGCAATGCAGACAAATCTACAAAACACTGATTCAGATTCAAACACAGTCATAAATTTAATTCATTTTATAAACAGCAATACTTAAAAATAAAATAAACTATTGTTTGTAGACACAGTCTAACCAATTTCCCCTTGCCCAAAAATGTCAATCTAGAAACCAGTAAAGATGCACTCTAAAGATTTTTGGTAGTTTCCAAAGAAAGTCCAAACATTATAGAACTAAATGGCTGCATGGGCGTATTTCTATAGAATCTGCAGGACAAAATGACACCTCACTTGTCTGTTTATCTCCCTGCCCTTAAAACCAACATATGTAAAAGTGAACACATATGGTTGCATTTTTATATAAAACCTCTCCCTGTCCAGATTCTCCATGGATGCTGCATTTGGACAACACTAAATGGCTAAAATAACAGCTAAAATAAATCTTTTACCTCAAACAGCAAATCTGGATGTTGAAACCCACATCAAACATGCGTGTTTCACTAAAGGCTGACCACAGCTGAAGGAGACATTTTCAGAGCTTACACCCACGCATAGGCTTTGCACTGCAACTGGCTGTTGATGAAAAGTTTCCAAATGGTTGAATAAATCTAATCTGATAACTAGATTTGTATTACACCCTCATTAAAGCCTATAAAAGTCCAGACAGTGTGTAAGCAATCAATTATGCATCAAGAGATGGAGATGTTTTGATGGTTTTTTTAGGTCAAATTTGCAAAACAATGTATAGAGCCTTACAAAATGATTTATTCTACCTTTTGCCATAATGGTGGGGGTGGGGTTACAGTGTTAGAACACCACAAAGCACAGGGAATGGAAGGAACATAAGACTTTTTTACCACATTTTTATAACTGAAACTGGTTTTCCTTCCAGGCAGGGGCGGAGAAAGATGGGGGGCCAGGGGTGTCCATCGCCACCCTTAGCCAATCAATGGCTATCCCTGTGGCCACCCCTACCATTTGTTCCCCTCTAATACAGACGGTGGCAGCAGTAATACTCTGAAGTGGAATATTCAAAACATTTGAATTTTTTGTGGTTAATTATACACATCAATATACTAACATCAAAGATGATGAATACAGAATTCATGCTCTTTTCAGAACTAGATTTTATGTTATAAGGGGTAAAGAGAAAATTATGTGTCTCTGCAAGTTATCTAGGAGTCTTCAGTGAAATCATAGATAAATAACTAATTTAATAAAAACTTATTAAACAATCAATTTATGTAGATATTAGTGCTTGTAAATATCAATTTTATGCAGAATAATTATTGATACAAGTAGGTAAGTAATGATGATGGAAAAGATTTACGCCCCAGAAGAATTTTATCCACTATACGTTTTTTTCTAGAAATTAAGGGTGTTTAAATTTATGCTTCTATTTGTTAGCAAAGGCTGTAGGAAAGTATGGTTTGTCTTTATTTAGAAAATATGGATGTTTTGCTCGTTAATTTTCCTATTGGAACAGTGTAGATTGACCCTGAGGTTCTGGTGCCGATCCGCTTTAGCCCCCCTCTCAGGGTCATGGGCAGTTCTAGACAGGGCCCAACAGAGGCCAGTGCCCCTGTAGACAATGTCCTGGCCCCTGTTATGGCCCCTGCACTGAAGTCATAATACTCAAAGAAATTCTAATGATGATATGCACCAAACAGACATGGTCACTGATAGGTTTACAAATTCTGTTTTGCTAATTATTTAAAAACAACAAGGTGATAGCTTCAGTGGTATTGAGAGAGGATCCCAGTTTTCATCTATGTGTTTTTCAAAACAAATGAAAAAAAAACTCTAATTTTTACAGCTGAATTTATCAGTTTTTCTTGAGTTCTAATTCAGCTTTCATAGAAAACGATAATTTTCACTAAAATTAAGTCAGAAATATGTAAAATTGCAAAATTATGAATGTATATTGACCTAATAAGGCATAGCATTTTAATTAAACCTATTTGAATAGAAATTTCACTTCATGCAGATATCTTAATATATTTGAATTCCTTTCCCTGTTTTTATTTCATGCTTTTTTTCCGTGCCCCCATGAAAACATGCCGGCCCCCTCCTGGCCCCCTGCCCTGGTACATTTGTTCTAGAACCGCCACTGCTCAGTGTATATTGGTTATTGTCTGGCCACCCTGACAAAGATTTCCTGGTTATGCCTCTGCTTCCAGGATGCCATGATTTCCCAAATCTTCCTCATGTATGATACTCAACTCTTTGCCTTTAGAGAGGTGCCATTTATAATGAACTTTAATCACACAAGTCAACCCTGTTTAAGAATGACGGAGGGATAAAACCATATATGGTTATTCTTCCACTTCATAACCATTCTCCACTTTTTGTTCATTAAAGCCAATTGGGTGGAAGTTTTGCAAAGGATTGTTTATGTATTGTTAGAACAGCAGACAAACAAAGAGTCCTGTCACTGATTTTTTTCCTGCACAGGTTGGGTTTGTTTTGACAAAAGGAAACATTCCTGTTGATATAAATCCTGAGAATTTGAAATGCAAACATTGGAAAGAGAAGGCGGTGTTTGACAGGAACAATGCCTCCTATCCCACAGCCTACCTGAGCAGACTGGACAGCGGATGGGAGGACGCTCCGTGGCTGCTGCTGCTGCTACTGCCGCCGCTTCCTGCGCTCCCAGAACCGCCTGCGGTCTGCCGTTTCCCGGATAAAAGCTTCTCCACCACGGCGAGGTTCCCGGTGCGCGCTGCGTCCACGAGCTCCTGCTCCTTCCCCATCGCTAATCCGTGGAAGAAAAAAAATCACAGGAGGCTGTGGGGAGAGAAGGGGGAGGAAATAGAGAAGGGGAGGGGGGTTGGTTGGTTGTAGGGAATGAAATTCCTCAGTGAGACTCTCTGTCTCTCTCCATACCTCAACTTATTTAATCGGAGCTTCAGATGGAGCGAGGGAACCAAAGCTTCCCCCCTCCCCCGGCCGTCCTGCTGGATCCTTCCGTCCCGATCCACGACTCAAGAGGGAAAAGTTTCGCTCAACAGCACAGCACCATTATCAAGCAAACTTCCTCTGACCAGTCTTCCGAGGGTAGTCCGTCACTTCCTTGAAACTGCCCTTTCTTTCTTCATCTCCAATGAAACCCTTCAGACGCACACAAATGCAGCTCGGGCCACCGCCGCCCCTCGCTGCTTTTCAAAGAGTAAGGATGGGTTAAAGCAAGATGGCGCCCCCGGTGACTCATACAATACGGTCAGTTAGTTTGGAACGCGCCCATCCTGATGAGTTGTAGATCTGCAGTTACAAGCGTCTCGTTGTGACAGCAACACATTTCCAAACCTAACAATGAGCGTTATCTGTTATAGTTATTTTAATGAGACCTTCAACAAGACTAATTAATTTACTAAAAAATAATAATAAAAAATTAAATTAAACAAAAGTTAAATGACTAACGACACGATAGCGATATCGGGAAGTAAGAAAAAACATTTGAATTGACTCGTATACAAATGAAGAGAAGATATTCAAATAACTTATTAAAAAGATAAAGCAGTCATAAACTATAGCCAATCAGAGGCAATACTTCTATGGAGGAGGTCCTCCATATACGTCCTCTTACTTTACTGAAAATGTATATTTTTTTTCTTATTTTATTTAAGAAAGAAAATTTACCAAGAAATTACTTAATTAGAAATAAAAAATTTCAACTTAATTACTGAGTTACAAATCATATCAGACAAATATATACAAAGCTCGACATGTTTTTTTAAGAATAAAATAAAAAAATGCAGAAAAACAGCAGAATTACAAGTTGGTAATTAACACATTATTTTGTTTGTTTTTTAACATTAAACTTATAGTTAAGCCAAAAAGAGATCTAAATTTCTAAGGCTGTGGTCTTCATGCAGACCTTGTATCCAGTTTAAGATCAGAAATCCTGAGGACTGAGTCTTAATATTTAGAGCCAAAGTAATTAGAACCAACATGCTAATGTGAAGGCCCTAGATATAATTTCAAATCTCACTCTGATTTTGTTTTTCTTAGCTTACATCTGACATACAGGAAATAGAGAGTAAATTAGGACATTTATTGTTACATTTAACAACCAATTAGACATTTAGATATTCTTCTTCTTCTTTTTTTTTTTAGAATGGGGAACAGAGCAATGGAGTTAGCTATACTTATCTAGAAAGGAAAAACAAAACTTATATTTTCCAGACATGTGTTTATTCTTTTTTATTTGGGTCTATTTATTTTTTCTTTCTAAAATTTCAAAATGAGAATCTTTGTTTTGTGAGATGTGCATTTTATTTTCATTGTTGTGGGGTAAACGGCTGGTGCATAGGTATCGATTCTGTAAAGAGAAAATTAAATCCACAGTTTAAGGAAAATTAACAGCGACAGTGACAAAATTATGAAAATACAGAGGAAAGCCTAGAAATATATGTATTCATTGAATATGTTTTGTTTTATAATTTATTCAACTTTACCAAAGAATGATATTTTGATTAATTTGACCACATTATTAAAATTATTAATAATACATAACTGCTATTTTAATGCTATTCCTTACAATATTTTTCTTGTTTTGTAGGTATGAGCTAAGGGAAAATAGTCATTTTTAGTATTTATTTATTATTTATGTTTAAGTTTTAGTGAATTAAAATATTCAGGGGACAATTTGTTGCACATATTTAACATCCTCATATGTTTATGTTTCCTGAATTGCTTCCTTTTTTTTATTCTACCCTATTTCAGAATGTAGTTACTCTCCAGTCCGCATGGTCGCGGTAATGCAGTAAATAGGTAGTTTGCTAAACAGCATAACTTTACCAAAAATAATGGAGCAAGAAAACAGTTAGCGTAGAGTTGCGACGAGAAGAAAGAAAGAGCATAGTGCAGCCTATGGTGGATGTATAGTTCAAAGGGAAGCTAGAGAAGCCCAGAAAATAAAGATAACAGAAAGAGTTTCTTACGCAGAAGCATTAAAAAGAATAAAGAAAGATAGTAAAAGAGGAATGAGGCTGGGAGAAGCAGATCAAAGTTACACTTCTCAGAACACAAATCAAGGAATGAATGGTCAGAGACAAATACTAATGCCAACAACAAATACAAATAATACATGTTTGCATAAATGTAAAATAGAGGAAAATACAATGATGGTGAAAAAAGAAAACTTTGTAGCATTTATATGTCATGTTATTAATGTTACAGTCCAAATGAAGAAGAAAAGTGATAAAATAAAATAAATAGTAACAGCAGCAGGGAGATTCCTAGATATGAAAGAAATTCAAGCAGATCAAATACATACCATTTTGAGTGCCACTGAAATAACAGAAAATGGTCAGGATTAGGATACAAGCTTTATTGATGGTCATTCATATTCTACAATGGAATGCCAGAAGTATAATAGCTAATGGACAAGAATTTAAAAAGTATATTTATGAATTAGAAGTAATACCAGATGTAATATGTATACAAGAAACATGGTTAAACTCAAACTTGGATTTTAAAATTCCTGGATATAATATAGAAAGACAGGATAGAAGTAATGGTAGTGGCGGAGGATGTGCCACCTTAATTAAGGAAGGAATTGCTTACAAGAAAAACTCATTAAATAAAAAAATAGAATGTGTAAATATAGAAATATTTAATTTAAGGAAACATGGAAATATTAAAATCATTAATTATTATAATCCGTGTAAAAATCTAGATAATGAAATATTTAAGGAAATAGGGAAAATACATAGAAGAGAAGTTTGGTGTGGAGATTTTAATGCTCACAACAGTCTATGGGGTAGCAAGAAAACGGATCATAATGGTGAAATAGTGGAAGAATTAATGGATGAAAGGTCATTAGTTTGTCTTAATAATGGAAAAGGTACAAGAATAAATATACATAAAAATTCAATCTCATGTCTAGATATTACATTAGTATCTGACTGTCTTGTTAGTGCATGTGAATGGGATGTAAATGGGGAATCTACACTAGGGAGTGATCACTTTCCAGTGAGTACAATAATTAATGATAATATAAATAGACAAGAAGAGTTTACATTAATAAGATGGTGCTTTGATAAAGCTGATTGGTTTAAATTTAAAACAAAATGTGAAGAAACAAGACATATAGTAACATTAAAAGGTAATATTGAAGAGTGTACAAATCAAATAGTAGAACATATTCTAAATGCTGCAAATTACAGCATACCAAAAATAAAAGTGAAAGGTCAGAAGAAAGTAGTTCCTTGGTGGAATAATGAATGCAGTAAAACTATTAAAGATCGTAATAAAGCTTTTAAAATACTACAGAAAAATCTAACAATCGAAAACCTTATTGATTATAAAAGGAAAAGAGCAAAAGCTCGGAAAACTATAAAGGATGCAAAAAAGAAAACGTGGAGAGACTATTGTTCATCAATAGGTTCAGAAGTTAATTTACAGAATGTGTGGTCAATGTTTAGAAAAATGACGGGGAAAAAGAACAATGTCAATATTCCATCCTTAGTCAGAGGACAGGAGGTATTGGTTTTAAATAAAGATAAGGCAGAGTTATTAGGAGAGACATTTGCGGCAGTTCATAGTGGTGATCACTTGACAAATACCCACAGAAGGCAGATGATTCAAAAACTTGGAAATCATAAAAACTCACTAGAAAAATGTCAAAAATATATGTCAACATTGGATATGAATATAACCATGAAAGAAATAAAAACAGTATTGAAAGGGACAGGATATTCAGCTCCAGGGGAAGACCAGTTATGTTACGCTATGTTTCGACAGATTCCGGAAGTAACACTGAAATTAATATTAGAATTATTTAATAAAATATGGAAAGAAGGAACAATACCAAATAGTTGGAAAAGGGCAATAATTTTACCATTTAATAAGCCAGGTAAAGATCCTTCCTATCCAAATAATTACAGACCAATTGCTCTTACTTCCCATTTAAGTAAATGGATGGAGAAAATAATGGTTAATAGATTAGGATACTATCTTGAGAAGAATAATCTAATAAATGGATATCAATGTGGATTCAGAACTGGAAGATCAACAATAGATGCTCTAACTAGAGTCAGTAATGACATAGAGAAAGCTTTAAAAATGAAGGAAATAATGATTATAGTATTTTTTGACATAGAAAAAGCATATGACTCACTATGGAAAGAAGGATTACTTATAAAAATGAAACAGATGGGAATAGGTGGGAGAATGTATAATTGGATAGCAAATTTTCTACTAAATAGAAAAATAAGAGTAAAAATTGGGAATGACTATTCAAATGAATATAATGTTGAAAATGGAATACCACAAGGTAGTGTAATTAGTCCAATTTTATTTAATATTATGATCAATGATATTTTCTATGAAACTGATAAATGTATAAAATCTGCACTATATGCAGATGATGGGGCCATATGGATGAAAGGGAAAAATATTAAACATGTTGTAGAAAATATTAAAAAAGCAATTAGTAAAGTTGAAAAATGGTCTTATGAATGGGGTTTCAAATTATCAGCAACCAAATCTTGCTATATGGTTGTCACAAAGAAGAGAAATATTAATATAGAAACAATAACATTATATGGACAGACTTTAGAAAGAGTAACAGAATATAAATATCTAGGTTTATGGTTGGACAGTTCTTACTCATGGAAAACACATATAGATAACTTAGAAACCAAATGTAAAAAAGTTATTAATATATTAAAGGCTGTGGCTGGAAACAATTGGGGGGCAGATAGACAGTCATTATTAAGCATATACAGGGCTCTAATGAGAGCAATAATAGATTATGGCAGCATTATATATGGAGCAGCAGCTAAAACATCATTACAAAAAATAGAAAGATTACAGTGTAGGGCTTTACGAATATGTACAGGAGCAATAAAAACAACACCTATTAATGCTCTATTAATTGAAAGTGGGGAAACTCCACTTGAAATTAGGAGAATTAAATTAGCTTTAGCATATTGGATGAAAATTAAAAGTAATATAGATAATCATGTGAATTCAACTATTCTGCAAAATTGTTGGGAATATGTGAAGTTCCAAAGTAATGGATTTGGATGGATGGTTAGGAAATGGATTAAAAAGTATAGACTAGAAGACAAGGAAATAGCTCAATTTAACCCAATTAGCGTTATTCCTCCATGGCTAATACCTGAGGTTAATGTAGATTTGCAAATCAATACAATGAAAAATGATTGGAATATAAATGAAATAGGGATAAAAACTGATATTTATTTAAGAACTACATATAATAATTACCTTAAAATTTATACAGATGGTTCTAAAAATCTAAAAGGTTATGTGGGTATAGGAATATATATCCCAGAGTTTAAAAAATGTATTCACAAAAGAATATCAGATCAATTGTTGGTATTTACAGCAGAAATGGTGGCAGTTATATTAGGCTTGCAATGGGTGGAGGAGATTCGACCAATCAGGGTGGTGGTGTGCACAGACTCTAAAGCAGTAGTGGAAAGTATTAAGGGAGAAGGAAATAATAGAAAAGATTTGGTATTAGAAATTCATCATATTTTATTTAGACTATATAGGGGTGGCATTGATGTTTGGTTTTGTTGGGTGCCGGCACATGAAGGAGTAAAAGGCAATGAAAAGGCAGATAAATTAGCTAAAAGGGCTTTAGAGGGGGAAATAACGATTTCAATTCCTTTTGGAAAAGGGGAAGGGAAATCACTTATTAAAAGTAAAGAAATGGAGGAATGGCAAAAAATATGGAACGAAGATAGGAAAGGAAGAAGATTATATGAAGTGCAAAAGTCAGTTCGAATTCGAAACATTAATGAAAGAAACAGAAGAGAAGAAATAATAGTTAGTAGATTAAGAATAGGTCATACCTACTTAAATGACATGCTTTACTTAATAGGGAGGAAAAATAGTGAGAAATGTGAGAAATGTGGTGAAAAAGAAAATGTAGAACACATACTGATGAACTGTAAGTTATATGAACACGAAAGGGAAAAATTAAAGAGAATAGTTAGAAGTATAGGGCATGAATGGAATCTTAAAGGAATATTAGGAAATGAAGGAAACATAACAGATATTCATAAACTAAGGAAAGCATTGTTTATGTATCTTAAGAATACAAAATTAAAAAATAGAATCTAATAGATGTGAAGTAACGCTGCTACACACTCATGTACAGTAGGTGGCGGTATGCACCTTAAAGTTGCTTGTGATCCGCCATAATAGAAGAAGAAGAAGAAGAAGAAGAAGAAGAAGAAGAAGAAGAAGAAGAAGAAGAAGAAGAAGAAGAAGAAGAAGAAGAAGAAGAAGAAGAAGAAGAAGAAGAAGAAGAAGAAGAAGAAGAAGAAGAAGAAGAAGAAGAAGAAGAAGAAGAAGAAGAAGAAGAAGAAGAAGAAGAAGAAGAAGAAGAAGAAGAAGAAGAAGAAGAAGAAGAAGAAGAAGAAGAAGAAGAAGAAGAAGAAGAAGAAGAAGAAGAAGAAGAAGAAGAAGAAGAAGAAGAAGAAGAAGAAGAAGAAGAAGAAGAAGAAGAAGAAGAAGAAGAAGAAGAAGAAGAAGAAGAAGAAGAAGAAGAAGAAGAAGAAGAAGAAGAAGAAGAAGAAGAAGAAGAAGAAGAAGAAGAAGAAGAAGAAGAAGAAGAAGAAGAAGAAGAAGAAGAAGAAGAAGAAGAAGAAGAAGAAGAAGAAGAAGAAGAAGAAGAAGAAGAAGAAGAAGAAGAAGAAGAAGAAGAAGAAGAAGAAGAAGAAGAAGAAGAAGAAGAAGAAGAAGAAGAAGAAGAAGAAGAAGAAGAAAGGATCCTGGTCGAGACGTTGGTCGTTTGGTGCATGGCGCGTGTTTTGAAGCTGCTCTGCTTGTGGAGAAATGTCCTGGGCCGTGAGTAGTGAGGAAACAGGAAGCGATTCTTGTGGGATGGAAGAGGGAAATAGTGACAATGAAGGTTGGAAGATAGCAGCATCAAAAAATTAGAAAAAGCGGAAAAAACAGAGATCCGTTAAAGGGGAATCTAGTTCAGAACAATCCAGTGATGATCAATCCATACATTCCACAGAAAAAAAACTTAATTCAAAGTCATATTCAAAGTCGTTAATCAGGCAGACTCTTTTACAAACTGGAATCCGGTTCACTTAACAAAAACCATCAATAAACTTGTTGGAGAAGTCCGAGGTGCCAGAATTCTGTACAGTGGAGACCTGCTAATTAACTGCAGAGACAGCGCCCAGCAAGGCAAAGCAATACGAATTAACAAAATTGACGGGATAAGAGTTCAGTGCAGCCTAATGGAGAACAAAAAGATCAGCAGGGGAGTCATTGGAGGAGTTCCTCTGAAAATTTCTGAAAAAGAGATTCTGGAAAACATAAGCGGTGCAAAAGTAAAAGAAGTAAAACGGTTAAAAACAACAAGAAACGGAGAAAGATCTGACAGTTTATCGGTGTTAATTAAATTCGAAGAAGAGCAATTACCAAGCAAAGTATTCATCGGTTACATAAGCTATAATGTCAAAATCTACAATCCTCCACCATTGAGATGTTTCAAATGTCAAAAATTCGGACACATTGCAGCAGTTTGTAAAGGGAAACAGAGGTGTGGAAGGTGTGCAGGAGAACATGAATATGGTAAATGTGGAAAAGAAGCTAAAATAAAATGCTGTAATTGTGGTGCAGAACATACTGCTGCTTATCGCGGCTGTGAAGCAAGCAAAAGGTCTGAAGAAATAAAAAAAATGAAATTTGAGCTTGGAATAACTTATGCTGAAGCTGCAAAAAGGATCCCATCTCAGTCAGAAAAACCCAAACCTACAGTTCAACACACGGCAAATTTCAAACCTCTAGAGAAATCTCCAAAAATTGATGAAGACTCACTAATTGTTAAAAAGACAAATTTTGTTCTTTTCATGGTGGAAGTGATTAATTGTACTGCTCAGACGACAAAAAAAAAACAGAAAAAATCAAAATAATAGTGAAGGCTGCAGAAAAATATCTGGATGTTAAAGATATGAACTGGGAGATGGTTGGAAGCATGATGGAAAGACCAATGGGACCATCAGAAACTGGCAGAGTTACGATGACCTAGAGTAAATTTAAATTATACGGGCAAATGTAATTTAGTATAATTTAGTATTATGTGGGTTTAAGTTACACAGGTATTTTTTTTTTTTTATTGGGGGGGGGGGGGGGGGGGGGTGAATCGTTTCCTGTTTCCTTGCTTTACTCCATATCAGTTGGTGGCGGTAATGCACATTTCACAAGTTTGCCAACCGCCATAAAATCTCATAAGAAGAAGAAGAACAGTTAGCGTATGGTAAATGACAATTTGTAACCTATTGTTTTTACTGTTTTTCACACTTATTGACGACGTAAACTATCGATTGTATCGATTAGGTGTGTTTTTGCATCAAAGCGGATTGATATTTTTGTATATCCAGTGTTAGCATCAGCCACAGAACAGCAGCATTCGGCAGCTAACAGTTAGCTCATTGCTTAGTTCATAGCAGAACGTTAAAGTTCGTTCTGAATTAAAAGCTTCAAGTAACACGACCAATTCTTCAGCGCTTTGCTGCCTTTCTATCTCACGTGATTTAAAAGAACATGTTTGTGTTCAGTAACTGAACTCTGGAAGAAAGATCTAAGGGGTAATGGCGGACCCTGCACGGATAAAGACGGAGAATTCACTTGAAAAAGAGGATTTTACTAACGAGGATGATCCGAAGACGGAGCAAACAGAAAATGTTCCGGAGTCTTCAGCAGATGACAGGAAAGAGCCGTCCACGCAGGATCATCCAAAAGATTTAAACGCTGTAAGTTAAAGAGTTTCTCAAACAAAGGCCATCAGAATAGTAAGGAAAAATACTTCATATATTGATGTACATTTAAATGAGATATCTGGAATTAGAGAAAGGAGACATACAGTTAATAATGTAATCTCAGGATCCAGTGTTAATCACCACAAAGAACAAAAGTAAGGTTGAAGTTTGACAGCTCTAGTGATGAGAGGGAGTTTTTCACAGCCACTTTTGATCTGAGAATAATATAAAGTATTAAAAAAGACTGATCATATTTATAGAGTTCAGTAGGTTATTAAAAAAGAAACTTTAAGTCTTATTCTGAGGAAGCAAATCATGAAAAACAGTGTCTAAGAAAACACTCCACCTAGACAAAGAAAACATAATGTTTTGCCTTTCTTTAGTAAAATTCAACTTGATTGATGCATTCAACCCAAAAATTAAGATACAAATGTTTAAAATTTCTATCGTTTAGGTATAAATCAAATTTATACCAGATGCAGTAAACCAAAGGGCTGTAAAGGAACAAAATCCCATTTGCTGATGAAGATTCTCAGTCATTCAGGTCATAGTCATTCCGTAAAAGTTTAAAAAACAATCCACTGACTTGGTTTCCAAGATTTGAAGACGTTTTCGCTTCCCCTCCAGGAAGCTTTCTCAATTCAAATGTCTGCATTGAGAATTGAGAAAGCTGGATTGTTTTTTAAACTTTTACGGAAAATCCCATTTGACAAAAAAAGCAAAGGAAATGCTTCATGTGGACTTAAATTTGGTGTATTAATGATCTAACAAACCAGACAGATTAGGAATAAAACCAAGACATTAGAACTCAGAAATATATATATTTTTTTGTAAAGATAAGTTGTTTTTTTATTTTATTTTTTTTATTGCATGATTGATATTGAAAGCCTGGCCCCCAAATATATTTTTGCCACTTAAATAACTAACATTTAAAAGAAGTATTTATAAATATCTTTATAGACATATCAGCAGCCTTTAAAGAAAGGATAGTTTGGGTTTTTTTAGAGCTGCTGTCTGTTACTTCAGTTAATTCAGTATAAATTTTGATAAATTCAAAAGATTTTGATGAAATCATGCATTTTCTTCAAGATCTTGCCCTGACAAAGCAGGTTTTAATTTAATAATGATGTGAAAGGGGTTATTTTTTCCCAAACACATCCAACTTGTTTGTATAATTAAAAAAACGACTCCATGATGTCCTCCAAACTGATGGTGGTTGTTTTAGGTTTCAGATAATCTACTGTAGATCTCAGTGCTGCATTTGAGACAGTCCATTATATTCTTTTAGAAAGGCAAAATCAAATATCAGCTGTTAATGGTAAATAATCCTTATGCTCCAGGATTAACTGTGGAGTACCACAGGGATCAGTGGTAGGGCCAATTCTCTTTACTATATATTTGCTCCCAATTGGTAGATTTAACAGACACTATGATATTAACTTCCACTGTTATTCTGATGACACGCTGCTGTATTTGTCCAAAAATCCTGCTAACCCATTACATACTGTAGATTGATAGTTATTGTGTAGTAGTTGCAGTTAGAACTTTGCAAAATCTACTTTTTCTAATCCTTGCAACATGGACCTTCTGTAAGTATGTAATAGCTTAGACTGGAATAGGGCAGCTAAGCAGGGTACAGAGACAGAAGTGTCATAAAAAGATTCAAAAACTGATGAATTGTCTGGTTTTACTAAAGGAATCCCACGGTTGGTGTCTTCATCATACATGATTTTTCTTGGACTCTAAAGGAAAGTGAAGCCACAGCAGCGGATGATGAGGAAGAGGGAACCTCTGGTCAGCCTTCCTCTAAACGTCTGAAGGTGGAGCCAGAAAAGAAGAAAGAGAAGCGCCACAAGGTCGATGAGGATGAAATACAGAAGATGCAGTACGGCTGACATTTTACCTGGTTATATATATAAAAAAAAAATAAATGAGCCGATATTTTTACACACATCAGATAATTGTTTTTGATAATTTGTACCTTTTTTCCATCATCTGCATCTTTTAGGGTTTTGGTGTCATCTTTTTCTGAAGAGCAGCTCAATCGCTATGAGATGTACAGACGCTCTGCCTTCCCAAAGGCTGCTATTAAGAGGGTGAGCTGGTTAGAAACAGATTTATTTCCAAATGTCAAACCTGTTTCTTATGACTGCTTTGTTATCTGCTTATTTCAGCTGATCCAGTCCATAACTGGTTCATCTGTTTCCCAAAATGTGGTCATTGCCATGTCTGGTATCTCCAAGGTTTTTGTTGGTGAGATTGTTGAAGAAGGTTAGTGGATGTTTCTCTTTTTAACAAAAGAAATAATCCGATCTAATACACACGACAGGTCAATCCGTATATTTTATTTGCCAATGTTTTTATTTTACAGCTTTGGATGTTTGTGAGAAGTGGGGAGATACCCCCCCACTTCAGCCTAAACACCTGAGAGAAGCAGTTAGGAGGCTGAAGAGTCGAGATCAGATTCCCAACACAAAGTGCAAGCACATCCTGTTCCACTGAGCTGATCATGCCACAGAATGAGCAAGGACATTTGCTATGTTAAAAACTGTCTTATTGTGCGGGGAAAAAAACTGCTAAGAAAGCTGTTTCCACAATGCAGTGGCTGTTCACAATCACTGACAGAGTAAGGACAGACTAGACACACTGGGAAAGCTTAAGGTGTTAGTTTTATTTATTTTTTTTATCATTTAAGTTTTGTACTGTAAATTGGTTTTAATTTCTTTAATAAATGTTTGGCTGTTAGATTAGACCCTGATATATAGGTTTGAAACTTGTTCATTTTGTTACAAGCTAAAAGGTATATTAAGTTCCATTTAATTAGATATCAAGTATAAATAAAATATGTGAGGACATTTTTAGGTTTCCACAGATTTTTGTTTTTCTGTCGGATTGGATCCAACGCTGGACTTTGAGTTTTCCACTATAATGCCTGAACATGCTGGATCTCAACTCCAGTCCTTTGTGGCCTTGGTTCAAGCCACCCCATAGCATGATACTGTCACCACCTTTCATCCTGTGTTCAGAATGGAATGTTAGTAGAATTTTTCTTTTATATATGACCATAGACTAAAGTTTGTCATGGGCAGATTTGTTGAGCGTTGGACTACCTAATTTTTTTTCATATGGTTGAATGAAATACAATAAAAGACCCAACAAAAATGTGTTTAGCAATTTATTAAGTCTTAAATTCTTGTCAACATTCTCTCTTTGGTTCACAGAACCAGTTATATATTAGTCTCAATAGAGTGAATACCATACAAAAACCATTAGCACCACTAAAAACATATCCACAATGACTCGTATGCATTCATTTTGGAAGTGATTCACATCAAGACAAGTGCAAAATTCAGTGGGTTAACCGCACAAGTAATTCACAAAGCATAAACGTCACAAAACTCACTTTAACACATGCGTCTCAGGTCTACAGTACATCTTGTAATCAGTCTCCCTCTGTTTGCATCTCTTGCATGGAAATTTAAATCAAAACTCTTTCATTAAATTAAAACAGATGCTACTAACCATCAAGGTCGGAGCAGAAGTGGGAACTTCAGAGCTACATGTTGCATCCAGCATGGAACGTCTCTGTCCATTAAGGCCATGCAGAAACTAAAACACTAAAAGCTAGTAAAAGATCACATGTATTGAGGTAAATAAGTAGTACATATGCTTTAGTACAACAACTTTTGAAGTAGTTTTGAGTGTTCATGCAGAGTGTAGAATACAAGATTATGACACATAGGTAGTTATTTCAGACATGTTACACCTTAGAAAATACTCAGCATGTTCTTTTTGATGGGTTTAATGAGAAACTAGTCTCTCTCTATTGCTCTGATTCACAACAGTGTTCTTTAAGCATTAATATCCATCTGCTACTCAGATGCATCCCAAGCTAGAATAACACTGATTCATCTGTGTTCATCTATTTCAGTTACGGTACTTATCTTAAGCATATTTGATGCGTTCCTTAAATTTTGAAACTCCTGAACCACAGATGGCTTCAGAAACTCCTTACCTGAGCTACAGAGATAAAATACCAGATCAAATTTCTCTTTAATTTCATTTGTAAATTAACTTCCTTGAGTTGAAAGAGTGGTGTGGGTATGTTTCCACAGGTGGTTCTGACTTTGCTCAATTTGCATTTAATCAAACACTAAGTCAGTCCAGCTCTGTACCAGGAAGTTTTGGAGCACTCTGTTCTTCTCTCTGATGACCAGAATCTCCACCTGGATATACACCCTACTCCACACAAACCAAGGCTGATTGTTTTGCTCCTCATCTCACTGATGCAAACACTGCAAAAGGAGTCCTGACCCAGCACTGACTCCTGATACTGTACAGAGCCTGGAAATAACTTACTTTGCATTTATTGTTTTTAAAAATGATTTTATAGCTTAAAAAATGCAGATATGATAATTTTATTCTGTTGTAATATTCCAACTTCCTTAAAAACTACTGTTTTGCGGATTTCATTAGCTGCAAGCTGAAATGAACATAAATAAATAATTAAAGCTAACTCACCCCATTCAATAGATCAATATAACAGAAGCTTTTAAAAAGTGATGCTGAAATACAAACTATTTTCAATGATATTCTAATGTAATGAGATGCAACTGTAGCTTCCAATGTAATTTAGCTGAAATATTTTAAATGACATGGCTCTGCCACCAGAGGTCTCCCATGTACAGATATGCTGCTGCTACAAACTGAGTAAAAAAAGAAAAGATTTTTACCGAAACAAAAGCCCTGATTAAACCAAAACTGAATAAACTGATAGTTGTTTTTTTATCTAACACAAACAAAACAACGGTGTTACATAAACATAGAGCAGTCACTTGGAATTTCATGCTTGTATGAGGTTTTCCACAGAGAACTAGATTGGCAACAAATCTGAGCTGAAAAGAAAAACGATTGTAGTTAATTGGAAAATCTTCACGTCATCAGTACGGCTTTTGATAATCAACAATCAATTTTGTTTTGAAAGAAAACAAAACTAAAGAATAAAAAATAAATAAATTCAAGTAAAATTATACAAAAACCCATCCAGGTTCCATACATATATATATTATTTTTAGACCAAATGATTTAACTCTGCGTACAATGTTCTCTAAAACGAGTAAGAGAGACGGTAAGGCGTGCCATCCTAACTGGCCGTTCACCAACAGAGGACATCGTTTCACAGTAAAAAAGAAACTCTTCAAATACAAAAAAATAAAATAACACTGAAAATAAACCGACCTGGTGACGAACCTATAAAAAAGGGGACATTTTAGATGATTTAAACCTCCCATTAAGAAGTGGAAGTTTGGTTTCTAAATAAAAAAAGTGCATTTTTTTCCTCTACCTTTGACAAAACTTTAAACCAAAACGTCAAAAAAAGCGACATGTCTGTCTAATTTTACACCAAACCAAAGTTAATTACACTGATAAGTCCAGCAGTAAAACCATTGATAAAAAAAAGCTACATTTCCTATTGAATTAGTGGTGCTCACTAAGCATGCAGTGTGACAGATCTGGCAGTGACTGTGCAACATATCCATAACACACAATAACTAAGTGGAAAGATTTAAAGCTTGATTTTGTCGCATGCTTTGTTTTACATTGAACCCACACAATGACTTCACCAGTCCATCCTGATTTGTTTTAGAAAAAAACCAGAATAAACTAGTTAAGCACAACAGTAATAAGTATCCTAATGCTTAGAAAAAGAACATTATTTTACCTAAAAGTTAACTTGATAAACCCCGGTTTTCTAGTGACGGCTAAAAGGGGGGTTCGTAATGGCTTGGACTGTTTGAGTCAGTTATAGGTTATATGAGGACACGGGTTTGGATTAACCTCTTGTTTTCTTGAATCCATCTTTAGAAATGATCTAAACGAGCTTCCAAATCTGATACATCCCATCAGCATTCCTCCACAGCAGCTGGGATCAGGGGGCAGAGTCTAAGAGGATCAGAGTGTAAATGTGGGGTCGTACTTCCTTACTTCCAGGAGGAGGCGCTCTCTCTCACTGAGGGCCTGTGTGAGGGCTGCCTGGGTGTCACAGAGCTGGCTCTCCAGTGTCCCTCCCTACAAAGACATCATTGTTGGATTAGTAACAGCTTATGCTCCGACTTCATGCTTAAAAGTATGCAGATTCAAATTTTACTCCTTAATAACCAGAAATCATTACTAAACAATAAGATCCCATATAAGCAAATTAACTGTTTCAAATGTAGTCAAAATCAGCTTTTATATAGTAGCCTCAACATAAAGTAGTTCATAAATGTCAAAGTGGAAAGAAAGTTAACCGATTTTAATAATGAAAAGTATGGAATACATTTGTATTATTTCCCTTTAATGCCTCATTTTGCTTGCATTTGTTTTAGAAAAAAGCACAAACTGAGTCAGATTTGATGAACGCTGAATTTAAAGTAGATTTAAATTTGGAGTTTGGGCAATTCTAAGACACAATAATTACATTCATTTAGGCTGCGCCCCTGCAGCCATGTCTGCATTGTGGTGTCAACTGCCCCGCTTTTTAATGCTTTACAGACTAACAGGATTCTGCTGTACTTTACTCCATCTTCTTTTTCTTTTTTCCTCCTTACCTCACTTTGCTGTTGGACAAAGTCGGTGCCATTAAACCTGTCAATGCCAGCAGCAGGAACATCTGCTGAAGAATTAGTGTCTGCACTTTCAGCTGAAATAAGAAAGAATATGTATGAGGCTTTTCTATTCATCTTTCTGAAAAGGTGTGACTTTAGATTACATCATTGGTTCTTTCCAAGTTCCTCTTTTTTTTGAAAAATCTTAATCACACATTCTGCTGGGTTTTTTTTATCTTCACCTTTGATTCTCATGATGCCATCATCACTTCGCTGGAGCAGCATCTGCTCTATAATGAATTTGGCAGGGACAGGTTGTGGAGCAGTGGGGTAGATTCTGGGTCCATCGTCCTAATAGAAAACAAACAAAAAAACATCAACTGACATTGTAAGTTGGATGCAGAACGTCCTTTATATTCCATTAACAGGCTGGGAGTATTCAGAAAATAAAACAGTTAAATACACAAACTTGTTCAGTTATCAACATGTGGGCAAAATATTCGGTGCGTCTTGTTTAGTGAAAGAAAAAACCTACAATGGTTAGAGAAATACATTGAATCTAAAACTAATGAAAAATTTAAATAATCTACGAAAGTGAAAAATGAATTTGACAAAAATGATACAAGAAAAGACAAATAATGTGACCAAAGGGACATGTTAAAACAAGGTGCGTCCACTAATTAGCATCATGAGTGTCAACATGGACCAAAGAAAGTGAAGGAAAGAGTTGTTAGGAGATTAGAAATACAATTATAGATTAGCATGTTAAAGGTAAAGGCTATGAGACCACTTTGATGTTCCTGTAACTACAGATGAACATATTCAGAAATTTTAGCTCCATCGGACTTTAGCCAACCTCTCTGGACGTAGCAGTAAGGGGAAAACTAACAATCAAAGAGACAGATATAAGTTCTAACTAAAGACCCCCGGAAAAAACTTCCATAGAGATTAAAGGTGAACTTAAAGCTCATGGAAAATCAGTGTGAGATCGAACCATCCATAATTGTTTGCGGCAAAATGGAATTAATGGGAGACGAATGAGGAGGACACTGTTTAAAACAAATCATAAAAAGCCAGACTGAAGTTTACCAAACTATACGATGGTAAGCCACAAAGCTTCTGGGAGAATGTCCTACGGACACATGAGACAGAAATTGAACTTTTTACCAAAGTTAATCAGCTCTATGCTCACAGAGGGGAAAATCAAGAAAAGGACAATGTCCCTACTGTTAAACATGAGGAGTCTCTGTTATGTTCAGTCTGCTTTGCTTCATCTGGCAGAGGGTGTCTTAAATCTCTGCAGGGTTCAGGGAAATCTAAAGACTATCAAGGAATTCTATAGAGAAATGTGATGCTCAGTGTCAGAAGGTTGGAGTCAGTAGAAGGTCATGGATCTTTAACAGGATAATGACCTAAAACACAGGAATGGCTATGAGGAAAATATGGGACTATTCTGAAGTGACCTTCTATGAGCCCTGACCTAAATCCTATTGAGCATCTTTGGAAAGAGACGAAACAGGATGTTTGGAAAAGACACCCATCAAACATGAGACGACTGGAGCAGTTTGCTTATGAGGCATGGAACTTATCATTTAAAATCATTCTGTTAAAATATGGTTAATTAAAGCAATGTTTAACTTTCATTTGTTTATTTTATTTTTTATTATCACTTTTATTAGATTCAAGCTAAACAAGGGCTACCAACAATTAATTCCACATGTATATGAATACTTTGGATTTGATAAACACTTCATGATTAAATTAGCTGACCCACCTTTAAAGTTACAGTGACGTTGGACAAGTGTAACCTTACAGGCTGACCATCCACACTGAACTCATCTTCAAGAAAAGGGCCGATGTTGGTTACAGTTGAGGCCAACAACTCTGCCTGGCAGTCCTGAAGTCTCACATCCAGAAACCCCAGAGACTCATCCAGAGTGGAGCGCTGAGCGGCAGACGGACCCATTTCTGCACGCAAAGAGAGAGCTGGAGAGTTCCTGGAACCCTGCATGCCTTCCCTCTGAGCCAGGTCAACTGCAGAAACAAAGGTGCAGATGCAGATTTAAACGGAGGCCACATTCGGTTTACCCTTCAGATCCAACCATTTAAATAAACTGAAGTCTGTTTATACAAGAGAACGTTAGCTTTGGCTTATTCAAGGCTAGCTGCATCACCTGCACTAAACGGCTGCATAAAACTGAAGAAAACAGTCATCTTCTATGAGATGCACTAAATATGTTGTCAAGCCAAAAATAATGTGCCACCTGATTAGCTAAAAAAGTTATGTAGTATCACACAGCATTGTTTAACACCCAAATATGGGCCGATGTTACATCTGTTATATATTTTAAGCCTGTCGTGACGCAGCTATCAAAGCTGGGTTTACACTTGGAGCATAGCAGAGGGCACGAGCTTGCGCGTGTCAACAGTGATGCATTTCAACTGTTTCTGTGTACAGGCCACCCATGCTGTCGGCAGCCTGATCACGCTACCTTGGGAGTGACTGTGCCAGAGGTAAGAATAACAGAAAAGCAAAACAACAAACATAAAAAGAAACATAAAAGTTAGGTGGGGCGAATCTTTTTTATTTTTTATGTTTTTCTCATTTCCTACATTTCCAACAGGTATGTTGAGAACAGTCACGTTTTTTTCCCCCCAGAAAATAATGCACCAATGCCAGCATATGAACCTGCAGCTCTTATCCAGGTGTCCGTGCGGTCTACAGAGACCTGTAAGACCCCCCCAAGGCGGAACTATAACTAAGCTTTTAGACAATTTCACAAAGAGTATAAACAAACAAGGAAGTACCAGCAGGTTGATCTTTAACAAGGATTTTTTAACAAGGACTGGAAGATCATGATGATTCAGGTTACCTTGCAGGAGACCAGCCAGAATGTCTGACTGTCTGATGTTTCCCATCTGGACAGGGGTCAGATTCTGCGCCTGGACAGCGATAATTTGGTCTTCTCCTTGTACCTCCACGGTACAAGCTGTCCCACTCAGGATAAGAAGCAACACTGAGGACTGTAATTCAGCTCATTAGAAGTCACATGGATGCTCCAAAACATGTACATTGCTAATGACTCTTGTTATTTTTATTAACTTTGAAGTACAGTGCTTGTGACACCTTACACACACAGCGCGTCATGATTTGCTCTTCAGAGCTGAAATTTCAGGGCTGAAATTGCATACTCTGGCTCAAATACACTACATTGCCAAAATGATTTCCAGGAAAGAGATTATGATACCCAGCATCTGGGCATACCAACAGTTTCTCTTAGAGAGTTGTGAAAGAAAGAAAAAACAAAAAAAAGAGTTGTGAAAGAAATGATTCGCTCTCAGGAGCTCAGTGAATTCCAGTATGGTTCCATGATAACATACCACCTGTGTAATAACTATATTTATTCATCTTTCCTGCATCTAAATATTCCACAGTCACCTATCATTGCATGTTAAATGAGTGTAAACAATAGCAACTTGTCCATGAAGTGGTAGACTATATAAAATCAGAGCGAGGACTTCACATACAGTTCCACATGTCAGCGATCCCAGCTTAAAAAATTAATTCAAAGCATGAATAATTTCCCTTGGTTAATCAAAGGTTAGTTTAAATGTCTTGTGTCACGTGACCAACTTCTGAATGGACCATATTCACCGGGCCACTATAACATCTACACGGTGAATCCTTGGCCAGAAACACAAAGCTGTACAGAGATCAGCAACTTTCTGCAATGTCCACAGCTATAAACCTTGAGATTAGCTGAAGAACAGTGCTTAGACAGAGCAATAACAGGAATAACAGAGGAGAGCTTAGCAAATCCAGAGCAAAATGCTGGTATTGTAAAACTTCCTGTGTTGTCAAGCCTGCTACCCTAGAGCAGGGGAGGCCTTTTTTTGAGTCATGAATGACTCTGGGTTTAACTATTGCCGGAAAACCTTGTCTCACATGTAAGGTTCGGTGCAGAGGAGATTGTAGTTTGAACGTGTTTTTACAAGCTGGCTTTAGCCCCATTGTTCCAGTTACAGGACATCTAAATGACCATTTTAAAAGAGAAACAAAACACTAAAGATAGTCTTAACTTGGTAGCTATAGATTGGAGATGGCTCTTTCCTATTTCAAGAGCACTGTGTACCCGTGCAGAAAGAAATGCCTATTAAGACATGGATGAGCAGCGTTGAAGTTGAAGAAATGAACTCAACTGCACAGAGTTCTGACCTCAGCCTGAACCAGACCATCTCCTCAAGAAACAGTGTCTGATGTGGTTGGAACAATAGTACTTTAAACACACAAAAGCTACTTTGAATACAAAATCTTGTGCAAAGCATTCTTAAAAAAGGATCATATAGCTGCAAAGGTTGGCATAATAAAGATTGGGATGTCACTGTCATTTATTAACCTTCAGCAATATAATGTTTTTGTATGTACACCTCTGTTAATGTTTACCTAAATGTCCATTCTGAAGTTAGCCACAGGTTTGACACCATATTGACATTTTTCTATGTGATAAAAGTACCTCACCATGTCCTGAGACACATCCTCGGTGCTCTGAGAGAGGGAGCTGCTGAGATCAGCCGACGAGCCGCCATCTGTGCCTGGAGCTGGGCTTCCACGGCTGCCTCCAGGTGTGTTGTTCGGGCGCAAAGACTCCAAACCTGATTCTAGAAGCAAAATACAAATGTAAGCCTGATATCACCTGTGTCACTCGGATATGTTTCAAAATCTTAGCAGTATCTAAACACCTGAGTCTATTAGAACAACAAAGTTGTCACTAAAATCACTGTCTATAGACAGATTCTCATCAGGGAGGCTGCCATCCAAGATGGCACTATCAAAGGACTGCTGGGAGTGTGAAAGCTTCAAGGACTGGTGTCGTAGAGAAGGAGACGACTCCTCTGAACGGGGATTCTGTTCCCTGAGAACACACACACAGAACCGCCATCATTACAGCCCTGCCAAAAGCAGGGAGAGTTAAAAATAATGCAGTGTATCACAAAACCATTTCAACTTTTATTGTTGCCATTAAACCACAAAACTTTAGCTGCAGTCTTTATTCTATTACCTTGGATACCTCTTAACATCCAGAGTGACTATCTATCTTCAAAAGTCCCATAGATTGCAAAATACTTAGATCTAATGTGATTACATATGTTTGGTGAAGGTTTCAGAAACTTGTTAAACAACATAAAGCATTTTAATGATCAAAGAGGACACTAAATGGATAATTCAGAGAAATTTGCAGACATTTAATCCTAAGCTTTGACAAACTGAGAGCCCTATTTTAGCCATTATCGAGGCAGCAGAGATGATGACTCTGAAAGGGTTACAGAGAACCAAACCATAAATAGGAGAATCAACCTCGAGGAGAACCTGTACTGTATCCACCAATCTACCCTGTGTGCAAAAGTGGCAGTAAGAAAGCAAATGTGAAGAGAATCCATACAAAGTCCTGCTGATGCTGTTTAAAATGATGATGGAAGTGTCATGCTAAGGGGATGTATTCTATACAGCAGAGACAGGATGCTGGTCTGAGTTGACTGGAAGAGGTAAACCTTCAAAAGATACAAGCCTGGGGTGGAGGTTAACCTTCCAGCGGGATACCATAACTAAACATAGAGCCTTCTTACAATGGAAGGAATCAGATAAAGTATATTAATGTATAAGCAGGAGTGCAGACGCACATCTTACTAAGTCCTAAAATGCACCAATAAAGATGCTCTCCATCAATCTGACCAAACTTTATCCTATTTGAAGGAGCATTAGGCCAAAGTGAATCTGCAAAGTATGATAAGTAATGTTGCCATAAATTGCGTGACAAGAACTGTAAGATTGCTCTGCCTTGAATACAGTTTATAACCAAACGTGTTTGTAATTAATGACAGTAAGAAACATAAGCTTTTTTCAAGCTAAACATAAGCAAGCAATGTAATTATGACAAAAAACTGAAGACTTGTTTGTCTACTTTTGAGTATTGCATAGTTCCCTCTGACATCTAGTTTTTTTCAGTGGACATTTCCATGTCCCCTATACCTTCCTATGCCAAATTCAGGCAATTCTGTCAGAGTGCACTTTCCAGTTCCACTTCAGAAAAAAAAAAAAAATCTCGATCCCCAATTGGTCAGTTGCTGGCAAACCATCAGGAGTTATCGACAGCTGCCGCCACACCAATTGCAGCAAGTTTTACAAAAACAACATATAGGTTCAATACAATATAGGTTCAGGAAGGTACAGAAAATGAAGAAGTTGATCAAAAATATTAAAACCTTAAATTATGCTTCTTTTGATTCATTTTACATTTTTTTAACCAATCATAAAATGTGAGATACATTCAGTTAAGTCTGTGGTTATAACTTTTCCCTTCATATATTTAAAAAATCCGTGTAAATAGCTGTGGAAAACTCAGTATGAGAGAACCCACCTTGCCTGTGGACTGAACAATTTACTCATGCCGGAGCCACGGCTCAGCATGCTGAAGGCATCTTTTGTCAAGGAGAATGCCCCTTTGGTTAGATCCAGCGAGGCACTGATGGCATCTTTGGTTGCATCCTTGGTGACGCTGATTGCACTCGACAGTTCGCCCTCTAGGCTAAAGGTAGATGATTCGCGGGAGATAACTGGGGAGGGTCCAGGTGACAGAGGAGGTGACAAACCAGGAGTTTCCTCCTTCGCCGTCAATCCGTCCTCCTCTTCTTCTTCTACAGCCTCATAGGCCGGCTCGACCACACCATCTCGATTGTCTTGATCGAATTCAGCAGCAGCTGTGTTGATCGTAGAGATGCCATTTTCTAAACCACCGTCCTCCAGGATGCCATCAGCAGAGTGATGAGTTGGGGAAACGTCAGAGTCTGTTAGGCTTGGGCTGTCCGTTTCTGGAGTCTGGGGAACCTCTTCCTCTGGTGCAGCGAAAGTTGGAGGCAGAAGCAGACCCAGCTCCATTGAGTCCATCAGAAGAGCAAGACAAACTGAGGGCGGTCTGGTCTTCGGGCCATGAGTTTGTTTATTACCGTGTAGATCCTGACTCAACTCTGCTCCCAGCCGAACCATGGCATCCTTCATCCTCAGCAGGGCGACATATTGGTAGTGATTGAGCCACATCTTTAGTGGGCTTATGGTGTGGGCCAGGAAGTGGAAAGAAGCAAGAGAGTCCTCCGGATGAGGCTCCTCCTCTGTGGAAATTCGGTGAACACTGTCAGAACCAGATGGGGCGGACTGAGATTCCCTTTTAAAGGCAGAGGGCTGGCACATCCACACTGACATGGCAAATGGCTCAACAAACGGTTGAGTTCTTCCTTTGGGGAATCGCCGAGCTCCGTCAAAACCCAGCGTAACACGGGACAGACTGAGAGCCCATATATCCTGGTTGCGGAGCTGCCTCCTGTCTAGAGGCTGAGGATCAAGTTCCTGGAAGTGCCACAGAAAAGTGGATGGAATGGGGTGGAAGGAACTCTGATCTCTGGGGTAAGGACAAGGTGGCATTGACTGGAAGAAAGAACACCCAGAAAATCTCTCATATGTACTGATGAGGTCCACTGTGGAGCCATGAGGACAGTGGCGAGTGTTGCTGAGAGCCATTTGAGGGACTATTACAGAAAGTGACTGTGGACGCTCAGGATGGTCCAGTATCGAGGAATCCAGAGGAATAATCATCTATAAAAAGACGTAAAACTTAGGATCCTCAGACTTTTAATCAGATCAAAAGAAGCTATGTGAAGAGAGAGTTAAATCTACTAGATTCAATGCAAAACAGTAAATGTCTACCTTAAGATGAGCTGCATCCATCCGGATGTCAACATGCTCTTCAGCCTTTTTACTGTCTTGCAAATGGTAAAACGCTTTGACCTGATCCAAGGTCTGCAGAAGACCCCTGGAGAACAGATTGATCCACAGCAAGCTGGCAGCATCCACACATAGCTGGAGGCCATTCAACTGGACATACAGGTTTGAAGTGGGCACTGACAGGAAAAACAGAGGCACCATTCAGATGCAATTGTGAAGAATACAGCCGCTGGCAGAGCTGCACACAGCCCTGGTACAATGTCAGGTTTTTGTCACATTAATAAATGAAACCAGGAAGGAACAAATATTTTAAATCTTTTTCAATTTCAAACAAGCACACATCCAGAAAAAGCTTCAATAATCTTTTTGTAATTAAAATTATTTTTTTTCTTAGAAAAATTTTGTATCCTTCAACTTTATTTTAAACTCCAGACAGACAAATCCGACTTCAGATTTTTGTCACACATTAAAATTAATCCCTTTCTATAATGCTAGATAAAAGAGTTACACCAGCTTATAAAATGTCTCGTTTCATCCCTAATGTAACTAAATACAGAAATATGAGGTAGTGTTAGATGGTGTAACAGGAAAGTTTTCAATGTGCCGGCATACACATATATTAATAAAAAAACGATAAAGGAAAAAAAAAAAAAAAAAAAAAGAATGAATAACTCTAGGTTGCACCTAAATTAAATCTAAGAGTAGCTGCAGTTGGATTGATAAGTTTAAGACTTTTTAAGAGCCTTTAAAGACCTTATCATCGTAAGGTCAGAACTTACGTAAAAAAACAATTTATAGAAAACATCAATTAACAAGCATTTCAGAATACAAACCAGAAAACAAATTATTTAAAAAAATCTAATATGAAAATGAGTATTCCATTAAATCCCTTCTGTGCATACTACCAGAAATAATAGCAATATGAAGAGGTGTTCAGGTACCTGGTAAACTGGAGTTGTCAGGAAAAAAATACTCTGTAAATTGCAAATGAACTCCTGGTATATTATCAGGCAAATGCAGAGCTTTCCGGTTGCAGGATATTAAAGAATGAGTCTTCTTATTGTGACGGCTTCTAGTAGACACCTACATGAAGAAAGATTAGGTCATTATTTAAGATAATTAATGGGATTTGTCAGTGTCAGACAACAGATAAGATAAATCACACAAATAATTCAAACACCTGAGTATGAAGATCTAAGAGTTCCTCTCAGAAACAAAGAGTGAAAACCAGGCATATTTTCCCCTGCGTATTGCTTTCTTTCTTTATATGAGGAACAAAAAGTTCATACAACCTAAATAACCTTTTTCATGCTTATTCGTGATGAAAGTTGTGATGGATTCACAACTAAAAAAGCAGAAGCAGTCAGATTGCGTAACTCAGTATGGCTGTTAGGGGTTTCGCCAGTTACAGGTGCCAGATTGTAAGTTTTATTCCCCCGAGTCACATACTTGTAATGCAGTTCAGAATAAAGGAAATGAAAATAGTTATTATGCGGTCCTTTAAACCCACTACTGTTACACGTGTTCCACTGAATTGCAAAGTTCACAGAAAAAAAACAGCCCAATGCTTCTCTTAAGAGGTTTGATTCAGGGGTATACGCAGTCAACTAAATGCCTTTAAGCCTGCTGATTGGACAATATTTATATGCTGCAAGTGATGAGAGCACCACTATCAGGGAAGAGACTAAAGAGCAGCAAAATTTTCCCTCCCCTGAAGAAGGCACATTTTCAACTCATCTCTTCTGTCAGTTAAAGTCGAACAAAGTTTTTTTACCCGTAACCACGGGAATCAAACTTCCTCAAACCCCATTGTGGGATTTATTTATTGATTTTATGAGGTTGGTATTAACATCCGTCCGTGTCTCACGTGTATAGATCAGTTTGTGACAAAAGCTTGCCTGATGAATGTCCAGGTCGTCCATCCTGATCACCACACAGTTAGAGCGCAGCCTCTTCAGGATTGAATTTAAAGAAGCCGTTATTGAGTTCCTGCTGGTTGCAGGCTCCTTATCAGACGGGTTCATCTTGGGGCTAGTCTGGCCATCTAAAGTTTGGAGATGGAGAGAAGATAATTAGCTAGTATTTAAGTAGATTGATTAAATGAGCTCAATACCTGGTATAATTCTAATTATAAATAAAATTGGGAGGAGCCAACCAATTATCTGATAAAGTGACACCAAAAGTCAAAACCTTCAGAGAACAGAGACTTAATAAAATGATTTCTGTGACATTTATTCCTCTCAGCAGCTTTAATTTTTCATTGATCAGATATAAAAAGAAGAAACATTTGGAATAATTCTGTAGTCGTACCCTTGGCAGACTTCGCAGAAGAGTCCTTGGCTGGATGGGGTCCTTCAGCATATGGCCCTGGAAACCCACAGGCCTCAGCTCTTCTCTGATACTCCTGCAGCAGTTTTCCCGCCCACTGGGCCTGTGCCTCCATAGCTCCACTGTAGCGTTCCCAGTGTCGACATCCATCAGCTGAAAAAGAGCAACAGACAGGAGCAGATATGATTCGGCCCTCTGATCTGGGGGTGTAATTATGGCCTGTCCCTATCCCCAGAAGCCACTGGATGGGAGGAGCGGTTTAGCCTTGACAGAGTGCTAATCCATCATAAGCATTAGCATCAATTAGAAAATAAAAGACTCAAATATTAGCCCTCTAACTCTGTGCTTTACAGCTGCTACAAGGGTCATGTGATGATGGATTGATTGATCTTTAAGTTGATGTTCCTCTCATCTGTGCACATTCCCAGAAGATTTCTATTTTATTTAAAATTAGCTGCAAACTTAAGCTTCACTAAAGATTTAAAGAAAAAATGACTTTCTCTCATTTATCCATCTAACTGTGGAAAATGGAGCCTAAGGTATCAGTTTATCACAGAGACTACCGTTATATATAAAGTTAGAATTCTACTCTTGAGATTAGCTATTATCCTATGCATTGCATAACTTTAGTAATCACAATTATGAAAAATAAAGAGTCTCAAGAGGTGGGATTTCCTGAAAAGTAGCCGATCAAAGGCTGCTTTACTTTCTGAGGTTGGTTCCAATCTCAGTAACAAAAGTTGACATGAGAGCACAGAAACAGGCCCACAAACGAGCAGTAGAGCATCTAGAGGTGGATTAAGAGCAAACCATCAGCTATGAGCACAGAAAAGGAGCATGAACTCATGCCTGAGATATATTGGGGGTCTCATGGTATTGAATCTGCACACAGAACAATCAAATTGCGTGTGTAGTCCGTATGCATGTGTACGTCGCAAAACTCCTCCCCCATCTGGAACAGTCAGATCAGTTTTTTTTGTTTCTCATCCCCAAACATGTACCTCTTATCAATCGTGTGAAGCCATCAGTGAAGATCATCACGGTGTGGCTTGCGGAAGCAGATTCATCATTTCAGGAAAGGTTTCTACACACAGACTGGAGTATGTTTGCTTCTCAAGCCACCAGTGGCTCTCACAGGGACATTGACGCTCACAACTCTTTTGTACTAGATTATATTAATACCACCATTGACAATGACACAACCCAGAAACAGATCACCACATACCCAAATTAGAAGCCATGGATGAACAAGAAGGCGTGACTTGTATTGAAGACAAGCAATCTTGCCTTCAGATCAGGGGATGCACAAGCCTACAGTACAGCACAGCCAGAACAAATCTGAAAAGGGGCATCAAAGGGACCAAGTACTTCTACAAGCTTAAGATAGAGGGACACTGTCCCAATGCTGATCCCTGACACATGCAGCAGGGCATTCAGGCCATCAGTGACTATAAACCCACTCACTCCACCCCCATAGCTAATGATGTCGACTTCCTGAATGAGCTGAATGAGTTCTATGCTCGCTTTGAAAGAGACAACAGAAAACTGCCACCTAGCTCAAATCTTCAGCTAACCACCCACCAATCACTTTCCTCCAAAGATGTCTTCAATGCACTGAGCAGGATCAGCATGCATAAGGCTGCTAGACCAGATAACATCCCTGGACGTGTACTTTTTTACAGACATTTTCAACCTATCTCTTGCCCAAGCAGCTGTACCAAAATGCTTTAAATGCACTTTCATTGTGCGAGTGCCAAAACACTCCAGCCCGAATTGCCATTAACGACTTCTGCCCTGTAGCGCTCACACACATCGTAATGAAGTGCTTTGAGCGGCTTGTCCTGGCACCCCTAAAAGACTCGTTACCATCCACACTGGACTCTCACCAGTTTGCCTACCGTAGCAATAGGAGCACAGAGGATGCAGTTTCCATTGCACTGCACTCTGTGCTCACGTATTTGAACAATAAGAACATTTATGCACTCATGCTGTTTGTTGACTTTAGCTCAGCATTCCACACTGTCATTCTGGCTAAGTTAAAAACCAAACTTTGAGACCTGGGCATCAACACCTCCATGTGCAACTAGATTTTGAACTTTTTGACCAACAGACACCAGAATGTCCAATCAGGCTCCAAGTGCTCCACGTCCATTACACTCAACACTGGTGTACCACAGGGCCGTGTGCTATGCCTGTTTCTCTACTCCCTCTTCACCTACGACTGTAAGCCTGTGTACAAATCTAATTCCATGCTCACGTTTGCGGACAAAACTACGGTGATTGGTTTTATCAGCAACAACGATGAGACTGCCTACAGAGAGGAGATCAAGCACCTAGCCACATGTTGCACTGATAATAACCAGCTCCTCAACACCACCAAAACCATGGAGCTCATCATGGACTTCAGAAAAGAGTCAAGAGGCACGCACAACACCATCCAGATCAATGGAATGGCTGTTGAGTGTGTCTCCAGTTTCAAGTTTCTGGGGATCCACATCTCGCTGGAAATGTCCTGGCTAACCAACACCTCCTGCCTGGTTACAAATGTTCACCAGTGCCTCTTCTTCCTAAGCACAATGAGGAAGAATTAGGTCTCCTCGACTATCCTGGTGAACTTCTATCACTGTGCAATAGAAAGCATCCTAACCAACTGTGCAACAGTGTGGTATGGGAGCTGTTCTATAGCAGAGCGCAAGGATCTGCAACAGCTACATCAAGCTTGCAGCATCCTTAAAGACTCTTCTCATTCAGCCCACAGATTGTTTTCTCTCCTGTCCTCCGGCAGGCGTTTCAGATGGCTCCGGACCAGGACCAGCAGACTAAAGAACAGTTTTTTCCCCAGAGCTGTCTCTTTATTGAACTCTCACTGATCCCACTCTGCTCATATAATGATACTCTCCTCTCCTTCCTGCCACCTGCCTCAATTTTCCCCAATGTGGCTCCTATCTTTCCACAGAGATAAAGGCAGTTCTATAGGTAACCGCCTGGGACCTGGGAAGACAGGTAACCGGCGGGACCCCGGCAAGCCACAGGAATGCGCCAAAGACAGCGTTCTGCGGCACGCATGGCCTGAATAAATCTGTTCCCCCTCTCAGCCCATCACCCCATCCCCCACCCCAATGCATGTGATGTATTGTGATGAACTGTTTGTACTGAAACTGAAATCTCGATTGCAACGTAAATTGTAGTTGACAATAAAGATTAATTGATTGATTTTGTTATTTGCAATACAATAATGTTCACTTGCACTGCTGACTGTTACTATAGTAACACCTGTTTAAATGCATCTTGCACTGCTTACCTTGACTGGAATATTGATTTGCACTGCCAACCGTTTATTTACAGTACCAATTGTTTACATATACATTTGTACTTTAACTGTAATATGCAATTACCTTCACTGCACTTTAATTCGGAAAGCTTCTGTCCAAGATTTATTTATCAATTTTATAGTAAAAGCATTGTATATCCTGCACTTGCTGCTATTGCACTTCACGTGCAATCTAATCTAATCTAATGTTTAAAAAAAACATTGCGCACATTTGGAAGACTGCTTCATATTTCCAGCTTTGCTTTGTTTATTTCATTCATCCATTCATTTTATCATCACCTCTTTCCACTTTCTCTGTCTCTTCTGAAGAAATTAATGACAACAGCATGATGCTGCCTCCACCATGTTTCATGATAGAGATGATGCAGTAAGAAGGATGTGCAGTATTGGTTTTGCTCCTTACATTGGTTATTTTATTCTAAGCGTTAATGAACAAAGCACCTTCAACAAGTTTGGCTATTCATCAAATAAGTGACAGTTAACTAGCTTTACTGGGATTCATTCAAGGGAAACAGATTCAAATGAAATATATAATGTTTGCAATTCCCTTTTAAGTTGGGTTTGTAATGTGATTTAATGGGAAAATGTTTGTGGTTTAACTGTTTTTCTGTATCTAACATTTATTTGTAGTGTGATAAATTTTGAAAAAACTAATATATCCCCCTTTGTCCTGTTGTTTTTTGCGGGATATTACAATTGCCACATTGTGCTCCCCCCTTTATAAATCCCTGAAAATCAAAGACAACAAACATACTTTGCTGTTTAGCCATTACAACTTTATCTCAACATAATAAGGATGGAAAATATCTCTACTGTTTATTACATCCAATAGTTCACTGAGGGTTATACCACTTGGCAAACCTTCGGATGCCATTAGTCAGCCTCAATAGTGATTCACCCACCAGGCAGTCATGACTGGATGTTGTTGTTATAGAGAGGGAATAAAACAGCCTCAGGGGTAAAACTGCAGCTAAAACACAGTCAGAAAAAGAACCAGTCATTCCACTTACCAGGTCTGTGAATGGGATAGTAGTCAAAGCCCAGTTTCTTGAAGGTTAGCTGCATTGCACCCTGCAGGCCTGGTGGGGGAGGCTCATCTGTGCAGGATCACATGAGAGTGCTTAGAACCAGCTCGACAGGAATTACCCATCAAAAAGGGAACAATATGCAATGTTTTTGGGAATAACATCTCACACGGTCTTAGCTTCCCTTCGAGATAAACCAAAAATATACAGCCTTCTATAGGATATGCTAACTGACAGCCATCTAACCTTCATCCATTGAAGAACTGTCATTGCATATGTGTAAGTCCAAACGTGATATGAAGGTGTGGTAGGATGACTCCTTGACATCATACAGATCAAAGTATTGACTGATGTTGTTGCTGGTGCCTGTGGAGGAAGGTGGAGGCTCGGTCCAGAGGTTGTGGATCACAGGGGACGGAGGAGCAGTCTAAACCGAAAGAAAAAGGCCAGATGAAAGCTAACGTCAGGATCTGTTATAAGAAACAAAATCTAGCAAAAAATATAAATAAATAAATAAATAGCTTTAAATATATTATTAGGAATAATTTTAAACAATTATTTGCACAAATTTGTCTTTAAATTAGAAAGAGCTCTTAAGAGCTTTTTAACCATAAACACTGAACATGATGTACTTTGGCTAGTCCCTAATGGTTTATATGTTCTACGGTTACATTTTTTGTAAAAACAAAAATCTAGTAAAATATCGGATTATGAGAAATCAACTAGAGGCTCAGAAATCCTGATATTCCTTACAGAAAATGTCTAATAGCTTAGCAATATGCTCCTTGCCTTTTTTGCCATTCTGATCAAAGTACAAAACAAAAAAAATAAATGTAAATATAAAGAAACAGTGAGTATGGACCAAAACGGGTCGAACCTGTAAGGAATCAGCAGTCATGCTCTTTCTCTGCTGAGCTGACTTCTCCATGGCCTCGCTCAGAGATTTGGCGTAATGTATGATGGCTTTGAGCTGAGAGTCTGTCAGCACCCACAGCAGGTCATCCAGAATGAAAAGAAGCTTGGACGCCATCACATTACAGTCCTTTATCTACAAATAAATAATAGATCAAAGAATTATGGCAAAGCAAAGAGTATATCAAATTCCTTCGACCGTGATGCTACATGCATGTGAAATGAAATATGAAGCCTTACTCTGCGTTTTAGAGCGATGCGAATGCGTCCCTGGTTGGTAATGAGCCGTAATGGGGTACTGCCAAGATCCTGGTCATCACTCTCAATGGCGTCTGCCTCGATTCGGAGCGTTTGCCAGGTTATTTCCTTAAAAGTCAACACCTGAAACAAGGTTAAAATTTCACATTTAGACCACGTTGACAAAGCATCACAAATTTGCACTATATGGCTCACTGTCCAGGGCAGCACAACCTAAGGGTATAAAATTAGAACATCTGTGAGTTTTAAAATAAGTTTTATTTCATTGATTACATGTAAAGTCAATGGGAAGTAGACAGCTGGGTTGTTTTTTTAAGATGTAAGAAATTATCATTGTTGAAATTGGTAAGTTATACTGAAACTGGGAAGCTTTCGGTTTATTCTAACAATTAAATTTGTCTATTTTATAAATTTCTGTCAATCATGTCTAGATAAAAGACTAAAATACATGAAATAGTAAAATTGAACTTTACAGTTCAATTAAACTACAATGAACGCTGATTGTTTCAAATGTTTCTAGACTCGGGAAAATTTTATTTGATTCATGAAAACAAAAAAGGAAGTAGTTTGATGAACTATTGAAGCCTTTAAAATACAGTAGATCCTACAACTTCAAAATACAATGTTATATGTGAAAATAGTAAATAGATAGATAAATAAATAAAGAATGGATTATTTTATTTTATTCAAGGTATTGCTGAACTCCTCATTAGGCTCTGAGGTATACGTTTGGTTTTCTATGGTTGAGTGAGCAGAGGTGAAGACTAGGATGAAGGGTTCACTCAGTTCTCTACTTTTGCCAGAACCCTACTGTAGGTAAAAAAGAAGGGACACAAATCTAATGAAGTGGTTAAGAAAGTCTCAGTCATAGAGAGCTTGTTTGTCCTGAAAAATGACCAGCAGCTTCCACAATCATGTGACCAGATTAACTGATTTACTGCAGGTTTCATAAGAACATGTGGCTTCAGTGAAAGAGGTTTACTTGGTTGATATGTGGCTGTCAGTGTAGCGAGCAAAGTCCTGCAGCAGAGTACTCTACCTCTCCTCTCTTGGGATCAGTGATGCGGGTGTAGCGAAGGTCACTGCGCTGCCATTTTGGGTTGAGGCTGTTGCCCTGCAGCTGCCACAGCTCGAATGAGGCGTGGAAGGCACGAGCCTGCACCTTGATCGTAATGGAATTGATCCTAACAGACATCCCCTCTACCACTTTCTCAGCAAAGCCATATTCACTGAAAATACACATACACCATTAAAAAAACAACAACAAACCTGTGTCTCGATCTCTGGCACTTCAGATAAGGGCGGATGGCTTACCTCTGTCCCTCTGTTATAGCAATTGGAGACGGACCGTTGGGTGGACGAGGCTCTTCACATGTCCTCATCTCAACCTCCACCTTATCCAAGAACTAAAAAAAACCATTAAGGCAACACAGAACTGAGCAAAAACAAAAGTAACCTAACATTTTTAATAATAAATAAAAACATACAACCCAGGAAGAAATGCCTCAGTTATAGCAAAGTTAGTTTTTTTTATATTAAAGAGTTTCACCCCAAATATGTATACAGTCATCCTTACCAGGCAGATAGGACTTGTTTTCAACTTCGTCCATTGTATCTGAAAAGATTATAGACAAGCATCACATAGAAAGTACACTACTGGACACAAAAACTTAATAAGCATAAAACCTTCACAGCAGATGGTGCAGAATGTTCTATTATAGAATAACTGGTCTCTGTAAAGCAATCATTGGACTGAAAGAACTGTCAAGTAATGTGCTATTTGACTAATCGTCAATACAGACTTCAAATCAGGCCATTTACTAAAAGAACAACTTAGTCCGAGCAATAATTCATCCAAAACTGTTTAAAATATATACACGTTTAACTTTTAAGATTAAAAACCCTTCTCATCTGTAAATACGCCTCATCCGGAACTCCTCAAATTGATTTCTAAGCATCATATTTATTTTTTTGAACCCGTTTTTGCAATTTAAAGTACATTTACTACATATGCAATACAGGTTTGTTTTTACTGATGCTGATTTACTTAGGAGTATCTCTGTTTAGGTTAATCGATTAAACAAAAAATAATCGCTATAATAATAGATCACTTCAATAATTATTTGCTGGAGCTCTAGAGCCAATAAAATGAGTTCGTCCAAACTTAAACCAAAATATAATTTCAGATAATTAGAAACATACTGGGAAAGTGGTAAAAAGTTGATAACAATGAACTGACATTTTAAAAGCTGTTTGCAGTGCTGCTGACAAAGACAACAAAGAAGTAAAGTATGTATCAAGGTTTTAAAAGGATTCAACTAACAGTACAGGATATGAATCCTAAGCAATGCAAAGAATACTGTAAAAAAATGTAGTAAATATTTGCATCTTACTCTAACAGTAAGGGATCTTGACATGCAGGATTATTGATATTGCTATTCCGTCTCTCAGCTATGCAAACACAGGCCACCATATCTCAGTCACAGTAGCCTCTGGTTGTTCCTCTGAATCACTAATGGCTTGTCTTTTATCAACAACCAACCAAATCTAAGAGATCAGAACATTCATAGCAGAGCCACTAGTGTTCCCTATCTTTGTGAATCTGCCATTGCTCATTTAATCTACAAATGCACAGTCACAAAAAAGAAAGATATGCATCACAAGTGGGGTGAATTACTGCTTTTTGCTTTTAAAAAGAACATTGACAGAGTAATTAGGTTATTCATGTAACAACCAGAGTAGTTGAAAGAGTCACCAAGGACCTACCCTGATGGCGGCTTTGTTGCAGTAAACCCGTGTCACAGCCAACCAGGTCGGCAGGTCAAGCATGTTCTGTAGGACCTCTTCATCTAGCTCCAGGTTGGACAAGTGTCCTTCCCCTTTCAGCGTACTCAGGTTAATCTTGTCAGGGGACAGGTTCTTGGTGAACCTTGGAGATAAAAAAAAAAAAGGAAATGTGAGTCAAACTTATAACTGATGTTGGCAGGATGCTGCAACTCATTTTGAAGTGAAGATATAGATCAACTGTTCAAGTGTGCTCAGATGGTGAGCCACAGGAATCAAACAGAGCATCAGACACATGGACAGAAAGGAACAAAGTGTCAGATTCCTTTCTAACACAGTGCTTTGGTCACATCTGCTTAAATAAACATCCTTTTATCACAGAATTGTTGAAGAATAAGACTTAGACTTAGATTTATTTGTCCTTTTGTTTACACAAGTTTAAAAAAAAAAGACATTTTGTTTAGAACAGCTCTCTGGACAACTTCATTTTTTTTAAAGTGGAGCCTTGAAAAATAGTTAAAAAAAATGTTAAAAACAGTAATATAAACAATGACTGTAAATATACAGTTTCAGCTTTTATTTTTTATATAGGCTAATAATAAAATATAATAAAATACAATACAATAACCCATTTAACAAAACATTCAGCAGTCTAAAGGCATTGGGGATGAAGCTGTTATGGAAATAATAGGATAGATAGAATAAGGCATTGTTTGTTTCCTTTTTTTCTGATAATGCTCTGAAAAGGAATGTGCATTGTATTTAGGCTTTATTCTGAATTCAAGGCAATCTTAGATCTTAAATACAGAGGTTAGAAAGAGACCATCTGTGGACAGAAAGCCTGACAAGGACCAAGGAAAACAGCCGACAGTTCAGAAGTTAAAAGGAACTTTAAAACAGACTTGTTTTTGTTTTTAAAAGCCAAAATAGCACGGTTCAATAGAACAAATCTGGCAAGTGTGTGATAAACCCAATGAGACCTGGCCCGTATACTAACAGGTCGGACTGGGAGGAGCATTAATCAGAGAAACAACCATAATGCCCATGACACCTCTGGAGATGCAGAGACTCAAAGCTCAGTTTGGGAGAGACGCTTTTCACAAATCTTTAAAGAAGAGGCAAAACTGAAAGAGGAATGCTTTTTAGTTTGGCTCTAATTATGCAGAACACTTAAGATCAGATCAAAATGGTTTGAGATCAAGTTTAAACCATTTAGCTTAAAAGCAAAGCTGTATGATTAGTGGGAGAGAAAAAAACAAGCTGACAACACATATCACAATTTGAAACATGTTGAGAAAAAGGTGAAGATGAGGGGCTTCTTGTCTTCTTCATGAACAGGGAAGTTGTTCAGTGCTCAAAGTGGGCAGAACTGAATGCAGGGCAGTCCTTAAAAACAGCCATGATACAGGCTGGAAAAGATTCGAGAATGGAGCAGAAGTTCCTATTCCATCAACATGAAAATTACAAATAAAAAAAATCTGAATCAAATTTGGTTTTAAAACTGGTTCACCCAATGGGGTTTAACTTCTGCAAAAAACACTTTTTCAGATTTTCTATCTGTAAAACCATCTAAAAAATAATTTATAATTTTGCTTCCACCTATGAACTATTTGAGTGCGTTTACTTTCTGTGCACCAACACACAAGTATGTGAGTGTTGAACCAGAGAAAGACCTTAAACAAACAGGTCGCCTGCTTTTCAGGACCTACTTTTAACAAAACTAATCTATCACATAAAAACCAAGAACAACACACTGAAGCTTCAGGTTGAAGACGACCAGAGACATTTGATGGGCATAAATACTTTTAAAACTCAGCTGTAAAGTAGAGGACCAAACAACGCTTTCACAAATATCTGTGAAAAATAAAGAGACGGGAGGAAACACAAAACACTATTGAGGTATGATGTGTATCTTACCGTTTGAATAATATCTAAACTATTAGACTCCTGCTTTGTCAGTGTTCTAGACTAAACAAAGTTTCCAGGTCTGATGTAACTTTAGTAAAGATAAAGATAAGTAACACAGAGTTTAAATTTCCCTTCAGTGTGGAGCAATAAAACAGCAGTTATTGTTAATGTAGAAAATAACATTTTTAATAACACTTTTAAAAATATGTACATTACAAGCCAATGTATTTTTTTTTGTACTTCCATTTGATCACAAAGATTATACTGAGGCTACATTTTAATTAACCAGGTAATCCTTGCAAGTAATTGAGATTAATAAGGATTAATGGAAGGAAATATCCAGGTATTAAGAAGGAGGAAAGGACCTCTGCATATGCTTAGCTGAAATAAAAACAACAAATAAGCTTTAAAAAAATTACAACAGAGCAATATAGCAACATTTTAAGAAACAATCAAATAAAAAAAATTGCTAATACTTGTTTAAGATTAATTTTATGTTTACAGCTCCTTACTTTAAGAGTAACATAAAGTATATTAAACCACACAAACTAAACAGCTTATCAATCATTTGATCTATCTTTGAAAAGAAAGGTCAAAATGTGGTTCAATATCTTAGAAAACCTTGTTTTATTTCTACCTTGCATTGTGCTTGCTATTTATCCTTCAGATTGGAAAAACCTTATTTAATTTTACACTGACTGGCACAACAGGCTGAAGACTCAAATTAAACTTTAGCCTTTAACACACACACACACACACACACACACACATATACATATATAAATGTATGTAAAAACCAGACCTAAAAGGGGAAGACTAACACACCACGGTAAGATCAGTTTTCCCCTGAGAGGACGCTTCAAATACAGAATGAAATAAAGTCAGAGGAAGAGAAAGTCTCCAAAAAACTAAAGGGGGTTTTCAAAAAACATTTTTTTAAAACCCCTATTCCTTGGGCTGAATTCTCAGCGTGTTCTGGTTGCTCCATTTTTCATCTACACATCATTTTAATAGTAAGTTATTAAGCGTCTTGGAAGGCTTAAAGACAAACTATATATTATGTGTATTTAGGTCATACATCTTATTTATTTCAAAATCCCATATCTTTTCTGAAAGATTTCAGAAAATTTTGTCCATTTTACAAACACCAAAAATTCTCTATGCTGCTGAATAATTTTTAAGAATCACTTAGCAAATAAATCTATATTACATATTTATATTCTCCCTTCTTATCTTATAAAGTGTGCGCAGTGCATAAAACGAAGCCAAAAGCTGCTCAGCATGCAAATAGGCCCAAGAACTAATTTTGGGCAACATTAATGGCTCCCGTGGGTGGTTCCAGACAGAGTGACCAGCCCCCCTGTAGAACTGGTCCTAGCCCCCGTGCTAAAAACATACACTACAAATATTAAAATGTAAGCCAACCTTTCTCAAAATTTCCAATTGATTTGGGAAGGTAGGTAAGACAATTTACCAATGTAAAGTGACCAACATAAAAAAAGAAACACTCCACTATATTATTTCAGGTGGATAATATGTTACTTTCTTATTCATCGGCAGATCATCTTATTTACCTGCTCAGTTTACAGACAAATGCACTGGTTTTTAAAAAGTTTAACTTTTTTTGCATCAGCTTTTGCAGTGTACAACAAAATGAAATTCTCACAATGATATGCGCTAACAGAAAGGATATCACTGCAGGAAGTGTCTATCTAACCAAACCTAACAATCTTAGTTCTGGTCTAAAGGCATTTCTGATCTTGTTTTGAGATTGATATCTTTGTTTTGAGAATATTTATATATAACAGGGTTTATACAGGAATGAGTAACTCTTAATTGAATGGTTTTTAATGCTCTTTTAATGTTCTTAGAAATAATTTCAATGCCATCAACAAGTACCCCTGATTCATGACCCAAATTCCTAGTTTTTCAGACATTCTCTAGCTTTTTCTTGGATGTTACACGCAGCTTTACTATCAACTGCAAGCTGTTCTGTGCAAACATGCGAAACCAGTTATATCTGATATAATATATCTGACGAAATTGTTTGTATAAACCTGTTTTTTTTTTTTATAAAGCATTTTAAATGCCACTATAATCACATTTTCCACAGCTGCCAATTAAGGCTTTCATTTAAAAAATAAAAATGTAATGACTTTTAATGACCCGTGAAAACCCTGTATTATCACACCAAGAGGTCTCACAAAGTGCAGTTGTCTGACTGCTTTGACAGAATATTGCACCTATATTTTCTTCACAAAGGAATTGAATCGTCTAACAGAATCTGCTCTTTCTCAGTATATCAATCTAAAAAAAAAACATAACTTTTTGGCTAGATTTAAAACTTGTAAGAATTGGTTAGGTGGACAACCTTTCTAGTGTGTCAGTAGTTAATCACTTGGACCAATTTAATATTTCACTTTTACTATTCACTTTAACAGTTATTTACAAATTAGAGTCACATTTACTCTGATCTTTAAGACATGCCCTGTTTTTATTTGTTAGATCAAGAGTTTGCAATCTTTGTGGCTCACTAAATATACTAAATGACATTCTATCCGTATTTTTTTTTTGGGGGGTGGGGGGGGGGGGTCTGTGGCCTCATGAAAAAACATGCCCATCCTTTGCCTCCCTAATAAGTGTCACCTAAATCCACCACAGACGCAGACACACCCTGGATGAAGAGCCACATGGCCCTGAAGAAGGGATTTTCCTAGCAGTGATGACAGGGAGGCATAACAGTGAGCAGGTCTGCTAAACCTCTGCACTGGAGTCCAGCCTGAAGAAAAACACTGATGGCTAATCAGATTCAATCCTATCATAGAACAGGAGCAACAAAATGAATGCTGGTAAATCAGAGCACAGACACCTCTGTTTCTTAGGCAGAAATATAACCAATCCCAGCAAATGACCTGCAAATGCATGAACAAGCACTTAAAACAATCATTCATTTGAAATGACACCCAAGTGTCCTACATAGAGGTCTACAGATTGAAGTTACCTACGTTGTTAAGTCAGTTTGGATAAATAAGCTACACAAAACAAGGCAGAAGTGATGAGAATAAACAGATAGGTGTTTAGGAGACGTCTGCTGCGTGACCCCGTTAAGTCTTTCCACTCTTATTTTTGACGCTAACGTTTGTTTAATGCCTGTTTAAGCTATAGCAACATGAAACACAGGAACAGTAACGTTACTACAATTTAATACCGAAATGGGCTAGCTGGCTAACATAAAAAAAAAAACACTTACCTTGACAAATGTTTCAGAATCTGCTTTTTAATAATCCCTGCCATTGAGGACTAGTGTATATGACGTAAAACCGTCGGTGGCTTTACTAAGTACCCAAAGACTAGCTGTCAGTTTCCTTCGTGTGGTACATGGCGATAACTGACTGCATCTTGTTAGCGGCTGTTACCTTTTCGCTAAACACCGGACAGCAGCAGCTAAACCCCAAGGCTCACGCCCACGCAAACACGGAGCTCGCGAGCTTAAAGAAAAGAAGGGGGGAAAAAACATGGGACAGCAGCTATTACACAATGCTGCCACCTAACGGATGTTTGATGTAAATGCAGTAACATTTATCAGTTGCTGTATTTGATGTTAAAATTAAAACACCTACGGGAAATTCGCAGCAAAGTTAAATTCATATCAACGTTTAATTTACTTTACTTAGTCAATTTAAAAGTACATCATTCTTTTACAATATATTGATCTAATGTGGACAGATTAATAAAAACTATCTCAAATTGTTTCTCAATAACTCGTAATGTATGGAGGACCAACTATGCCATATTTGAAAATAAATACATAAATGAATAAATGCTCAATAAATAAATAAGCATACAATAATTGCCCCCCAAAAAACAATAAACAAATAAATGTAGGTAGAAATTAAATTATACAATTGTACATATCTCTTTTAATTAGCTTCTTTATTTATTCACCTTTGTAATAATTGCCTTATTTATTTATTGTCCATTATAATCTTCAACTTTATTCATTTATTACTTATTTTTTTAAGTATTTATTTATTTATGTGCATGTGATATTTTTGTTTGTTTTATTCTTCCTTTGTATTTTTTTACCCTATTTATTTATTTAGCGCTATTTATTTCTGCCTGTCATTTTTACATTTCTGTATGCATTTCTGCCTCATTATATAAATTAGGAAGGGCTGTGTCTTAGAGTGTGTCTGAATGCGGCAGAGTTGGTCCTCCATACTAATGTTAAATAGCATTCATAAATAAATTCATAAATGAACACTCGTTGATTAACGATATAGCTGATTTCTAAAACACATATCCAACCCATGACACATATCATTTTTTTGGAGTGCTGACACAACTTGGAATAACTTTACAATTTCTTATATGAACCTGTTCTTTATCATACCATCACACTTTGAGGTTCCAATAAATATGAAAACAAAAATCTATTTTCGATTTCTTAAAATTATATTATTAAATGTATGGATTTATTCTAATATACGGAAGAGGATTAGGGCCACTGAAAAAATTACAAAAAAGTTAACTGATTTTTAAATATTATTTTAGTTTTATATGGGAAAATAAGTCAGAATTCTGACTTTAATCTCAGAATTCTGTCCTTAATCTGAGAATTCTGATTTTAATCTCAGAATTCTGATTTTAAACTCAAAATTATGACTTTTTTTCAGAATTCTGACTTTAATCTCAGACTTCTGACTTTTGTCTCAGAATTCTGACTGAATTGTGAAAGGTAACAAACATGTTAGCATCAAGCTGTAGCTATGTCTGTTTTAGAGACTAGCTCTCTTTTTTTAATCACCTTCTGCTCCTCCATTAATGAAATAGCATCACCGGGGACCCCTCAGGCACTAAAAAGTGGCCTAATTTTGTCATTTTTCTCCCAAACAACTCACATTTTTGTCAGTGAAGCTGAGTGCTCCCACATGTCTTCATGGTGCCCATCTACATAAAGATCCAAAATCTTCTATTAAAGTCAGTGTTCCGAGATTAAAGTTAGACTTCTGAGAAAAAAAAGTTAGAAATTTGAGAAAACAGTCAGAATTCCGAGTAAAATTTCAGAATTCTGAGAAAAAAATAGTCAGAAATTTGAGAAAACAGTCAGAATGCTGAGGGGAAAAAAAAGTCAGAATATTGAGAAAAAAGTCAGATATTTGAGAAAAAAGTCAGAATTCTGAGAAAAAATTCAGAATTTTGAGATTAAAGTCAGAATTCTGAGAAAAAAGTCAGAATTCTGAGATTAAAGTCATAATTCTGAGAAAATAAAGCCAGAATTCTGACATTAAAGTCATAATTCTGAGTGAAAAGTCATAATTCTGAGAGAAAAGTCATAATTCTGAGATTAAGTCAGAATTCTGAGATTCAAGTGAGAATTCTGAGATTAAGTTAGACTTTTTTTTCTCATATTATACTGAAATAAAATCAGTAATTTATTTATTTTTTTTTTTCCAGTGGCCCTAATCTTCTGTCGTACTAATATGTGTGACTTGATCATACACATATATTTATATTATTTTTTCAGTAATTTGGATTCTATTTAAAATAATAGGGTTCCTCATATCATTGCTGCAGTGAACTGTTGTAGAGAATAGCCAATAATGTGTTGTTGTTGTATTTCTCTGTTCGCTCACTCGCAGGCTCCAGTCATGTGACATGCGCACTGGGCCCTGCTTCACAGTTTGTTATGAAAAGTCGAGGCCTCGGTGTAAATTAGTAGCACGGCCGCCCCTGTCTTCACCCCAGGCTTCTCTGTCATGGAGGGCATGGACCTGGACCTGGACCTGGACCAGGAGCTCATGCAGAAATTCAGCTGCATGGGCACAACAGATAAAGACATTTTAATATCGGAATTTCAGAGGCTCCTTGGGTTCCAGCTGAACCCCGCCGGATGCGCCTTCTTCTTGGACATGACCAACTGGTGAGCTCGGGGATTCGTTTGCGGCCTGCTGTGAGCTGGGTGTGGGAGAAAATGTACAGACATTTAGCTAGCTTTCTGTTTAGCATATCACGCAGCACGAAGTGTATTAATACGAAAGGGGATACGGTTAATTAAAAAAAGTGATAAATTTCATTGACTTAACAAAGAACACTATCGTTTGGACGTATTAGCAGGAACGGCTAACGACGCTGTAGTAACGTAACTAGCTGAGTCAGTGTGTGACGTTCCAGGGACACTGTCCGGCAGTGTTTACATGGCCCTTAAACATACTGCTTTCATTATATTATTCTCTTAAATTATACGAATTTCCTCCCTGACATCTATGTTATTGTAGGATTCAAAATACAATAACATTATTATGACATATCTGTTGCAAATACAACCCAAGTGATCGCCTAATTTATTACATAATCTAGAAGCGGCTCTCCGCTTTTCAATCTAAACTCATTTCGTAAGGGGAGAGTTAAAAAGACTTCTGATGTCGTTGACATTAATTGGGAAATATGTTTTTGCTGTTTGAATTGATCTGACTTCCTCTGGCTGCTTGTTTTTAAACCCAGAAGTCAGCTACTCAGTGCTTTTTGTGGAAGAACGAAAATAAATGTGTCCTGAAGTTATCCCTAAAACTAATCTCTCGTCCTAAATGTAGCTTTAAAAGAGGCAAGCGTCGCCCTGGAAGGAGTTTATATAGTTTTAAGTACCTTGTAAAAGTCTTGATCTTTTCTAGATACACCACATAACCACAAAACATCATTATTTTGATCAGAATTTTAAAAAGACACATTCTCTAATATCGCCACAAATCAACATCGTATAACTGTAACAAAACTTTGTTTTCAACAACGTTTGCTAACATGCCTCTAAATAAAATCCAAGGCGGTGCATAGCATACACAAAACATCGCCTGAACACACCATTGTAAAACATGGTGGTGGCAGTATTATGCACTTGGGATACAATTCTGCTGGAGGTGAAGATGAATAGAGTGAAACCCACCGATGCAATTTTAAATGAAATCAAAATTACTAAATGATTCATCCATAACAAACAAACAAAAAAAAAGGATTTTAGTTAACTTGGAGTACTCTCATTTTAACTTTAATGTTCTCGTTCTGTGTGAACTGCTGCTGCTAAATCACAGAAGTATGGTTTTGGTTATAAATCTGTATTAGTTTCTTATGATTTTTATTGCCATTCTTCTCTTATATAATCTAGGAACCTACAGGCTGCCATAGGAGCTTACTATGACTTTGAAAGCCCGAATTTCAGCGCACCTTGCATGTCCTTTGTGAAGGATGTGACAATCGGCGAGGGTGAATCTGTACCACCTGACACACCATTTACAAAGACTTGGAGAATACAGAACACAGGTAAGACAGCTGGATCCGTTCACGACTGGCCATTCTTTAAGTCTGCAAAGGATCTAATTTAAGCATATAGACAGTTTTTGGTCCTTTCTTCTCATTTTCTAAAAGATAGAAAAGAGATAAATGCAAATTGGTTCAGCTATCTTAAGCTAGAATTGGATGGATTCTTCAGTCTCTTGACCCTCTTAGATCACGCTTTGGACCTTAAGTTTTACGATTTCTGACTCTACCTTTTTACCTCGTTTTTCAAACAAAATAAAGGTATCTAAATAAAGGATGTAGATTTGACCAATCAGAGGCCTCCTGTCTGCGGTCACCTGCAGTTTTGGAGAGGTGCAGCAGAGTGTCTGTGGAAGGGGCGGGGGCATATCTGTGTTAACTGCGACACACACGCAGACGACCTGGTTTCTGAGTAGAAACCAGCCGTTTTTCTGCGTGCTCCTGTTCTCCCCAAGTCCACACTTTCCTATGTTCTTCTCAAGAACATACTTGGCAAGGACATGAATCTGTACTCGCGTTCTTGTGAATTAAGAAATGGCCGATGTTAGAGCCCTTTCTGTTATAAGTGGCAAAGAATGATTCAAAATCATTCCAACACAAAATGCTGTCAATTGTCAAATGAGCTGTTCATTTGTTTGCATCCCTTCCAGGTGCAGAGTCATGGCCGCCTGGGGTTTCTCTGAAGTATGTGGGAGGTGATCAGTTTGGTCACGTGAACATGGTAATGGTGCGCTCTTTAGACCCCCAGGAAATGACTGATGTCAGCGTGCAGATGCATAGCCCTGTCTCTCCTGGCATGTACCAGGGTCAGTGGAGAATGTGCACAGCTACAGGACTTTACTACGGAGGTGAGGACAGCACACCTACTCTACAGCAACTGCTTACTGCCTGATGAAAACTTCCTGCACTGTTTGTCATCATTTGTTTGATATCAGCATTTTTATTGTGAAATAAGCTCCAAAAAGGCCTTAAACAGAGTAGAAAACAACAATATTAAGATTTAACATTGATGCGCTGCCTGCGAGCTTTGCCATGTTCCCAGTAAAATTCTCTCTGAGTAATCTGATCTAAGTGAGCCGCTCTTCATGCAAATGTAAGGTAGAGCCACACTGCTGGCAGAACAACAGTGCAGAATATCAGCAGCTCTACTGGAAGTTCTGTTGAATTTCAAATACGTTTTGTTGCCAGAACAATCATTTTATCATTTGGCATTAATGAATTAAAAACTCAAGCAAATTGTTTAGTGGAGATATTAGCAAAGAGTTTTTCTGTGTTTACTTATATTTTAAGAAAAGTCTTTTCAAGTAGAAAGCCATTCACGACTCACCTGTAATTATCTGTTTTTTTTTTTTATGTTTGTTATAAAAACAAAGAAAGGGTACGATAATTTGGGACTTCAAAGTTCTTGTTTATTTTAACCAGTTAAATTCACCGCATCAATACGATCAGCAGCTGCTTTCCAAACAGCATCTTTGGGAACTTGCGAACTTAGCACTGAGCTTTAAATCAGCATTAACATGCGTTGTGATAGACACCAAACTGTTATAAATAAAAAATATGTCCAATAAAATATTTAGTTTTCTCAGGAATTTAAGCAGAAGAAAGGATTTAGCCTCTCAGCCCCTCACAGCCAAACTAAACAAAGTTGGTTGAAGAGCTGACCTCATTTAAGGTTAAAGATTATGTTTTAATAGGGTTATGTTACGATTAAAATTCTGTTTTTTTTCCCCCCTTAGCCCTTATTTTAAATAGGTAAACAAAACACTCATCAATAATTATATAATATTGGCTGATGTGAAAGGCTTATTTCCTGCTACATTTTTTTTTTATTTTAGAAAATATCACACAGACCTATGTGTCTGTGTGATAGACACATAGGTCCCCCGCCCTCCTAACTAGTAAGGAAAGCAATAGGTACAAACGGGTTACCGTGTCTCTGGCTATGCGGGGAGCACATCACTACCGTGCCGAGCTATTAACAGCCTTGCTTCTGTTAACAGCTAGCTTGTTACCTATCTGGACCGGGAACCTTTTAAAATATGTATTTCAATACACAACCCCATTTATTCTAATACAACCGCATCTAAATAAACTGACCCCCCTCCCCCCCTCCCTCGCCAGTGTCGTTCCAAGGTGGCACACCAAGAGCACGCATGGAGTAGCAGCTGATGGAGTTCACTCCGCCTCAATTTCACTACATTGGAGAACTTTAAGCCCTGCACTTCCAAACAACAGATGACTTTATTCCTTTTTTGGGAACAAACTTCTCACACGCCTGTAGTTATGATGTCGTTTGCTGTTTCGTGTGACACTATCGCTTGATAAACCGCAACCTGGAAGTAATACTGCTGCTACAGAAACTTAGGAGAAGCCGAAAATGCACCGTTATTAAACAAATAATAATAATAATTTACATTTTTTTAATTAATTGAATCAGTTTTTTTACCCAGGTCTATTGCTAGGCATAACATCCACACTCCACATGAAAATCTAACATCTTGGCTCCAACAGCCCAGGTTGTTCTTTAGATTTTTTTCAAACATCACACCCATTCCTTACATTATTTCATTAATAATCTAATGAGTTCCTTGAGTATGTTTTGTATAATCGATCATAATATGTAGCTTGTGAGAGCAGCAGTTCTTCATGAAGATAAATTGTTTTATAATTGAATTTTAATTTCAGTGAAGCTATTCAGGTGCCTAAAATACCTCTTTGTAGAGCTTAGGAGGTAAATTATAACCAATACATTTTACTGAAAAATGTAGGACAGGAGGGAAATCACTGCTTCTCTGACTCCAATTTTAATAGTAGGGGGCTATATTTACAATTAGCTGATATATATTCAAGCAGTTATAATACAATTCTTTCAAAAAGTGCTGAATATGTGGATGATGTGATTCCATCTGTTTGTGCCTACAGATGTCATTTGGGTTATCCTGAGCGTAGAGGTCGGAGGCCTCCTTGGAGTCACACAGCAGCTCTCCTCTTTCCAAGCCGAGTTCAACACCCAGCCTCACCGCAGCCTAGAAGGAGACTACAACCCCTTTGCCTCGCCACAGAAGAGCAAGTGTCCCAACAGTAACAACAACCACGTCCACAGCGACAGCAGCAGTAGTGTCACAGAGGAACATTTGCAGGGAAACCCAAACCAGCTGCAGCAAGGCCAGAATGGACTTTCACACAGCTCTGTGGATATAGTAGCAAACCGTCTCCAAAGCAGTCTATCAGTAGTCCCTTGTAACCAGGTGAGGTATTTTTAGAGTGAAGAAATATTGAGTGAATAATGTTGTTCTGCAAACTGCTGGGTTTGATTCAGGGCTGCAACTAACGATTATTTAGCAAATCGATTAATCCATCGATTACCGTATTTTCACGACCATAAGGCGCACCGTACTAAAAGGCGCACTCTCAGTTATGTGTGCCATTTCTGTATTTAACACACACATAAGGCGCACCGGACTATAGGGTGCGTTTTTTATATACAGGTACATGTCCTCTACTACCTTTAAATACCTCTACTGCGTATTTAAAAATACAGCGGGGGCAAAACTGAGTATAACTGTGCTTTATTCATGTATTTATTACAAAGTATTAATCAAACCTGCGAGCTGGCCATGAGACAGACACATCGCAGATGACACAGCGCTGTGATTACTCCTAAATTAACTTAAAATCCTGAAACCTGCCGACGGAATATGTTCGCTTTTATTACCGGTATCCTGGTGCCTGCAGTTTAAATTATTTAGATGAAAAACACCTGCCAGCAGCCGCGTGAACCCAGAGGCTGCCCAGCCTAGAGGCTGCTGTTGAAGGGATTTCTACTGTCGGTGCACCGCTGGTATGTGGGGGTCTGAGCGCATCCGACAGAAATAGATAATCTGGATGAACTGACTGCAATTATTAAGTTTTCAGGTGGACTTTCTCACTTAAAAACATATTAAAACTACTTTATTCCCACTGATCACAGCAAATATAGCTGCAAGATTTAGATTATTTAGATGAAAAAACACCTGCCAGCCACCGTGGTGAAGAGGAGGAGACCCGCCCAGAGGCTGCTGTTGAATTAAGTTTTCAGGTAGAAAAATAGAGCGGGAGCAAAACTGAGTATGATTGTGCTTTATTCAAGTATTTATTACAAAGTATTAATCAAACCCATCAAAGTCATCATCCTCTGTTTCTGAATTAAACAGCTGCGCTAAATCAGACATGCCAATTTCCCCTTCTTCGCTGTCAAAGTCACTTTCCGTGCCGGGCGGCTCCTCAGAAATAATGCCGGCTTTTGCGAAAGCTTGAACAACAGTGCCAGCAGACACAGTCCATCTACAATCCATCCGCAAACGGTGCCGTAACTTGCCCGGCGCTGCCTTCCACTTATCCTGAAACTGTGGTCTCCGTCTGTCATCCATCGCTCCCACGCCGCTCGCAGCCTTACTTTGAACGGCCGCTTCACACTGATGTTGAGCGGTTGAAGTTCCTTTGTCAGACCCCCGGGATAACGGCGAGCACAGCGTTCATTTGATTCACCTTTTTTTTCACATCGGCTGTGAGATGGGCACGCAGCGATGGTGATGCGTGGAAAAAACCACCTGGTCTCCTCACATACACCTGCCTCAGCCACGCTTTCATCATCTCCTCATCCATCCAGCCTTTTTCATTTGCGTTAATATCATATGTGATCAGAGCGCTGTGTCTGTCTCGCTGTCAGCTCCCAGATCAGCTTCTCTGATTGGTTGTTGCGGCGCGTCCAGCAGCAAAACTTCAATTTTTCCATCCCGAGCAGCAGCGCGTTGGCGGTGCGTCAGATGCTTAAACGCTCCCGACGCGCTGCGCCTGCTGCTCAAAACGCGCTGCGGGACCTTTTACTGCACCTATATGCGCGTCAACCATTGACTTTGCATGTAAACTCGCTGCTTCTGCTGCACCTGCTGGGTCCGGTTCACACCGATGTCTAGCGGTTGAACAGCGAGCACAGCGTTAATTTGTTTCCCCATGTTTTTCACATCAGCTGTGAGATGGGCACGCATGGAGTTACATATTAACAGCGATGGTGATGAGTGGGAAAAAAAACACCTGGTCTCCTTACATTCAGCCACTCTTTCATCATCTCCTCAATGAGGTGGTCTCAAAAGTCGCAGTTACAACACACATAGGGCGCACCGCACCAAAGGGCGCACCGCACATTTTGAGGGAAAAAAAAGACGTTTAAGTGCGCCTTATAGTCATGAAAATACGGTACTTATTTTGATCAATCGATTAGTAATCAGATAGGCAAAGGTTCCTTAAAGAAGTTATTTTATAGAATTAAACCAGGTGAAATTCAAACTTCCATTTGAGGACTTCTGGATACATATTGACAGATGAAAACTTTTTATTTATTTATAAATTTATTTGTTTTGAGTTTTTACAGCACTAGTTTTTTGGACAGTAGGCTGACAGAAAATGAGGTATGAGAGAGAGACATGCGGCAAAGGACCACAGGTCGGATTCTAACCTGGGTCAGCCGCGTCAAGGACTAAGGCCCCCGTTCTTTTTTTAATCTTAAATGCAAAAAGTTTTTTTTCTTTTGCAATTTGAATATCATTACTGCTCTGTGGGTTGCTCTGTCAGCTAAATGCTTTTCACTCTCTATACTCCAGTTAACGATTAATCAGTTACTAAATTAGTTGACTATAATTTCAATAATCAATTAATCAGGATTAATCCGATTGTTTCAACCCTAGTTCCATCAAACATATTTATCAATATCTCAATGGTTATACCTCTCCTGTACCGTTCACAAGGCTGAAGCAAACAGAGGAGATTTATTAGTTAGTTTTATTTAGTTAGCCATTTCTGTGATGATTTAGTCATATGTTTTAATCATAATCCTGTTGACAGAACCTGTGATTACCCATCTATAGTATACTGGTAAAGTTTACGATGTTTCTATTTAGTATAAATGTTTTTTGTAGAAAGTTATCCTTTTCTATTGAGAAGCTTTGATGGGGTTTAGATTGCCATTCTAGTTACAGCGACCACATTTCATTACTTTCCTTCATTTCAACCTTTCCACCGGGCTCTGCAGGCTTTAGATCCAACTAAGGGCCGGATCTATCAAAGGTTTGCGTGTATTAAAACGTGAGCTATTTCACAGCGCACGCTAAAAAATTTACAAACTGATCTATCAACAGCGTGCTAAAAGGATTTGGTCTTTAAAACGTGCTTAATAGCGCCTCTTATCCATTTAGTACTTTTTCTGCAATGAATATGCAATATGGGGCGTTTACACGCAAAAGTGCGTCTTGTGGGAGGAGAAAATGTAAATATATTAATTTAGCACTCGCAAAGTGATTTATCAAACCTGAAAGCAATTTTGCTAACGGTATCTGACTCTATATTTAACACGTTTCAAAACAAGGTGCAAATGGTCTGTATGTGTAATTGCGCACACATGGCAGCGGTTATAGTCGCAAGAAGGAGACATCGAAATGAAGCAAGGAGACGCAGAGAACGCATTTTTTCACTCCGTGTGAATATTTTTGGAATGAACGAGGAAACGATCATCAAAACATATCGTTTATCCAGCATTGCCATTTTGAAGCTGTTGGGGGAACTCCGAATGGATTTTGAGCCAGCCACAAGGAGGACCCACGCAATACCAGATATCACAAAACTCCTTGCAACATTGCACTTTTTTGCATCTGGGTCATTCCAGCGTATGGTTGCAGCAAGAGCTGGGATCTCCCAATCTCGTACGCATCCCCCGCAATACAATAAACCCGTTTTTTTGTTTTGTTTTTACTGCAGTGAAGTAGAAATTCAGCCACATACCACCTTAGGGAATAAATGTTGCCAAAGTTTGTTTATATATATATATATATATATATATATATATATATATATATATATATATATATATATATATATATATATATATATATATTTTTTTTTTTTTTTTGGAGGGGCTGGGGGTGTCACTGTAAGATTAAAATTTCATAATGCACTAGTTTGCACAAACTACAAACTACTTTGCCGCAAACCACAAAACGCGCAAAAGCATCATTTAAATAGGGTGTCTCCAACAGTTTTGCACCTGCCACCAGTTACGCAATCACTCTTGTTAAATCACCCGCAAACCATGGTTCAGCCCCTCGCGCAAAATTCCAGTTTGCGAGCGCAAATTACTGCACGCAAAATTGGATCTTGATAAATCCGGCCCTAAGAGTATAGATGAAATGTGGGCAGGAGGAGAGTAAAAGTATGTCCAACACCACAAAACATTTGTACAGCATGCAGAATTTGCATTAGTGTCTCTTTAAAGTTATTATCCTGCCAAATTTAGCATCTGCTATTGTGATATTCTACACACTGATGTTTAGATGTTGTGAACCTCTAGGTTGTAGCTCAAGTACTGTGGTATCATCAAAAACAAGTTATACAAAATTATCAGTAGGGTAATGGTGATTGTTCCATTGGGAATTTGTTGTTTTTTCCTTGCAAACTAAACAAAATGTCTAAAAGTTTGGATTTCATATATTTCTTTAAAGAAAGATGTGTATATTAAAGGAATAGTACACCCAAAACATGATTAGCCTTCATTTTCTACTCACCCCCATGCTGAACAACACTCTGGAGTACTTTTTTGATATCTCAAATGCATCTGGAGATCTGGGAGGCTTCTTGCTGTCTGCTGACATTCAAATAATGGAGGTCTATGGTGCCCGAGACAGAAAGGTCCATAAAAGTTCACAAAAAACGTGTCAATATTCCTCCATACTGCTTGTCCAATGTATTCCAAATGTCCTGAGTGGGTAGCATCCAGAATTTACTCGAAACGAAGTCATTTAGAATGTTTTTAGAGCATAAACAGTAGTGTATAGGATGTCCTGAAAGCGCGCGCCGGCGAGTTCATGACGCTACGAAAGCCGGCAGACCAAACCAGATGAAAGTTTGCATTCAGCGTCTGCTCTGCCGATAATGCAAGCGTAGAAGAAGAAATGTGCTGTTTACCTGTGCAAAGAAAGAAACAACGAAAGAAAAATGTCTGAGGACTTCAGTGTTGAGGAAGAGCAGGAGTTCTTTGCCGAGCTGAATGCAAACTTTCATCTGGTTTGGTCTGCCGCGGTTTCCGTAGCGTCATGAACTCGCCGGCGCGCGCTTTCAGGAAATCCTATACACTACTGTTTATGCTCTAAAAACATTCTAAATGACTTCGTTTCGAGTAAATTCTGGATGCTACCCACTCAGGACACTTGGAATACATTGGACGAGCAGTATGGAGGAATATAGACACGTTTTTTGTGGACTTTTATGGACCTTTCTGTCTCGGGCACCATAGACCTCCATTATTTGAATGTCAGCAGACAGCAAGAAGCCTCCCAGATCTCCAGATGCATTTGAGATATCAAAAAAGTACTCCAGAGTGTTGTTCAGCATGGGGGTGAGTAGAAAATGAATACTAATCATGTTTTGGGTGTACTATTCCTTTAAGGCTTATGGAACATTTTTGTTAGATGGGCAGACAATGAATATAAAAAGTAAACACTTCAGATACTGAAAGGTTGTGATTTGAATGGCATGTGGCAGCTTTAGTTAAAAAGCAGATGTAGCAATCTCTGCAACGACTCAGTGTTCAGGAGATCAACTAATCTCCCTTTATATTTAGGCCTAGTCTTTATAGTTTGTAAGTTCGGTTATTAAGTAAAAGTATCATATCTCCTCTGTTTTTTTTTATGTCTGATGCAATTTGCATCAGAATATCCTTTTTATTCATAATCTATTGACACAAAACAGGGTTAATTGAGTGTTAAAGTCTTTATTGCAAGATCCCTCTCATTATCTGTTTCACTAATTGCTGTAACTCTAACATCAGCCTTTTTTTGCTAGAAACTGAGTACTGCTATTGGTTATCTATTATTTTTGTGTTCTAACTCTGTTTTTACACCTCAAATTAACTGTTTGTTTTAATTCTTATTCTCTCTTACAGATACAGGAGCCCTCTCCTTTTGGGCACTCTTAATCCCAGGACTTATCACTGTATTGCAGCACTAAGTTGAACCTCTGGAATTTCTCACACCTACAAACTTGGAGGCTTTATTTTGGAGTGTGGCGGTCAAAACACTTTATGCAAAGTCTAATTACACTTAAACAAAACAAAACAAAAAAACAGCCAGAGGCCAACGCTTCTGATGTGCAGCTGAACCAACATCCCACTATATGCACGTGTGAATGCTAAGTTAAAAAAAAACTGAGTGCTATGAGTCATGAGTGATAAGTTTCTTTTACTTTAAAGATTTCCTTTTTTTTTTTTGTTGACAAGGATGCACATGGACAAAGGTGAAAGTAGGGGGTGTTTGAGAGCCTTTTTGTGAATATGTGCGTGCATTGAGCAGCCTGCAAAAGAGACATTAAAGCCATTAATTTTGCCAACTGATTCTACAGTTACTGCTCCTTTAGTTTGTTTCAATGAATTTTGGATCCACTGGCCTGTATATCACTAAAGGGTATGGTAAAGGCTACCCTGAAACACAGTTTCAGGTTAGATGTGAGTCAGCGTAATATTTTTTACCTCATGAATCTTGGAAAATTGACATTTTTTTTCTACCTTGTCACGCTGCCTGGATTTTAAAAAGCTACAATTTTTTTTTTTTTTTTTTTGCTTTAGTCAGTTAGGTTTTCATAACTAACTAGAAAAGTATAGATTTGGAAATATGGAGTTAAATCTGATTGGATTAAGTTTATTCATATATCTGTGGAATGGGTGCTTTTATTGTTTAAAATGGAATATCATTAGATAAAATTCTCTGTGTTTTATCCGGTCATTATGTGAGTTGGTGTTAAATTGTAAGCCCTAATTTCTTTTTCTCCAGAATCATCCACTTTAACCTTTCACCAAGCTTTAGACTGGCCCCGAATTCACAGTGCTGACGAAAAGCAAAAGATGGGTACATAAAGGGAGCATTTTGGTATTGAAAAGTTGTTTATGAATTATATGTTTCCAGGCTAAGATATATTTTAAAGTATCTAATCATGTGAGGCATGATTGGATAGCAAATGATTATTTAAAAACGAACCAGAGTAGCTTGATTATTGCTGTAAAGACCCAACCACTGAATCCAATTATCATTTAAGAAATATTATGTGCCCACATTATACCAAACCAAAATGTTTTAATTTGTGTTTGACTTTTATACAATTAGGTTGAATGTATTTCATGAATGTAGACAGGAATAAGCCGTTTGGCAATGTTTTATTTTACCCAAAGAATCTGCATTATCTTTGACCTAAACTGGTAGTTTGAAGTGTTTCTGTTTTTTTTTTTTTTGTCCTGTCTTTTGTCTTTATTATATTTTTGACATTATTCATTGAGTTGTATTGAACTAACTAGAGATGCACCAATGGCCTGGCTACATGTAGGATTTGGACCCTTTTTTTGTTAATTGGCTCTGATCGGTCTTTGGGCATTAAAATAAAAAAAAAAAAAAATCATTAAATGCATCAAACCCCCTCTCATACTCTCTGCTGTTTGTTTCCATGGTTTAGGAAGTCCTGTTTGCAGTAGGGAAAATTAAACCTCGCGATACACATTTAATTCTGTAGTGTATGTAGTTTGATCACCAGATGACCCATGTTTCCGAGGATCTTTTGTCACGGAAAAAACGTTACATCAGCATTTCTCAATGTGTATCATGTGTGCACCACTGCTGCTGAACCAGCTAAATGTTACAGCAATGGCCTACTTTATCCTATCTGTGCCAAAGATTTTCTTGGATGATAGAAACTGACATCTTAGTCTAATTTCTGGTTCAGGAAGTTGTCCATTTATTGTGAACAATTTCAAAGTATTCATAGCAAAGCTAATTAAGATTTTCCTTGTACACATGGACGACCCAGAATTTCGGTTCACCAGAAGCCGTTTACCCATAAAATATGTGGCAAGGTAGGAAACCGCTATCATAGGCTTGTAATTCTGGGATTTTCTATTGGGTGTAAAAGTATTTACCTCTGATAAAAATCTGCATCCTTTTTTTAAGTGCCATGGTTGATTAAAATAGAAATAATATGAATGTATTAGCAACAAAAGTCTAATTGGTGCATCTCTAGAACTCGCCATTTCATTACAAATGAATAACAACGGCATTTCCTTTGGACAGTGTCGCAGCTCATTTACGCTCTTTTACAAATTGTATAATCTATGCACTGAGTCATATAACCTTTACAAAGTCTGTGTTATTTTCCTTCAGAATGACTGTGAAGTCAGAGAAAGGTTATGATCTGTGTTCATACCATCTATGATCAGAATGGTGCCCTTTAGTTGATGAAAGTGTAAATCCCTGAGGTGCTGAACCACGATATGACAATACCAGCCAATACAGAAATACAGCTCCAGTTGCATTGAAGAGTTTCCTTCCAGTGACTTGTTAGATATGTTTCTTCTTCTTCCAAATGTCAGTTTATCAAGTTCTCTGTGTCTTGTTTTCTTTGTGTAACATCTCTGAAGTTTCCAGTTAGCAGGATGAATCAGTTGGTATTAAACTCAAGCCGCAGTGCATGTATGCAAATGATGAAGAGCAAATAAGTGAAAGATCCTTTTTATTGTCTGATGAAAGTTTCTGAAATTAAATTATCACAGAAATTAATTACATGTTTTGTCTTTAGTGCAGTTTCTGTTTATGTCTCCATGAAATTAAAATAACTTCTTCAACACTGAATTATTTCGAAAACGGGAAAGCTCACATTTTAAACCTGGAAAGAGAATCTTCGGGTTATTTTTGTAATTTATAATTTTGTTTTATGGACAGTACCCCTTCGGCTTATAATTGGTCTATGAAAGCAATTAAATTTTTATATTTTTTTATTTAAATAGACACCAATGCTGCATTTGACTTCACATTTTCGGACGTTATGAGAGGTCCACAGATCTAATGCAAATAAGCACAGTAATCCCAGGAATTCTCTAAGATTATTTGAACAGGAGTAGTCTGAAAAAATCTGGTCAACTTTCTTCCTTCGATTTCTTTAAAAACTTGAACCATTCATACTTTAGAAGTAGTTATTTTACATTACAAACACTAAATTTAGCAAAATTGTGAACTGGCAAAAAAAAATTTTGTTAATTAATGTGAAAATATTTTTGGAACCATAATTTCTTTTACCAATTGTTTTCTTCAATAACTCAAAATTGGTCAGAATGAAAGGAGGAAGTATGTGAACATTAACTTTCAAGAGTCCCGTTGGATTCTTAAGTTTTAGCTCTTAGCTTTTCTAAAGCATGAATTTTGTATAATGTTTAAAGTTTCATCATAGCAGTAAAATGTTAAATGAACTTCCATTCCAGCCTCAGTGATTTTTTTTTTATTATAAAGATTTCATCTAGAAAGTTTTGCATTAAGCTTCATCCATCTGCTCATCTACTCAGACCAGCTTTCCTGCATCTGCTGAAGTGAATATCCCCACAAAATGATGTCACTATGCTTCATGGTGAGGATGGAGTTTTCAGATAATTTTTTTTATATATATATATATATATATAAAATGTTTCCCATGTTTATTTTATCTGACCTGAGAACAGTCCTCCATTTGCTGTGTACCTTCCTTGACTTGCTACCGAAAAACACACATTTTTTGCTGTTATTTTATGCTCTAAGAGGTGTCAAAATATTAATATTTTAGAATATATTGTTTCAGATCCTAACCCAGCTTGAGTGCACTTAATATAATTTTAGTTTACTAATTTTCCTTAGGGTTACAGTCCTCTTAGATATGCAAAGAAAAGATACTTATGTTATATCATCATGGGAGGATTCCATGATACCGAAATCCCTGTAGCTATCAGATTAAAGTTTTTTTTTTTTTTTTCGGGGTATGGCTTGACTCAAATGTTCAAAAATAATTTTGAAGCATTTGAAGCAACTCAAACAACTAAAACTAAACAATATTAATATTTTTATGTCTCTCACACTGAATGAGATATAATGGTCTTATTTGGGATTATCTATTAAAATATTATGAATTGCTATATTTCCAGACTACATTTTAAGAATATTTTAACATCTAGAGAAAGACATTAAAGATAAGTGTAAAATAAATGTGTTACAGTTGTCCACTCACCTTCTGCTTTGTCGCTCTCCTTTGGCTAAAAGTTTTCCTATTTGTTTTTATCTAGTTACATTTTCTCTTTAGCAAGCGGAAAAGAAAACATTTACAATGCTGGGCACATGTTTACTGCAAAAGATGTAAATCTAAAATCTTTTTTTTTATAAGTGCAGGTAAGTCAGACACTTTGCCCATGGAACAAGACAATTAATACATTTAAATAAGAAAAAAACATTGCATTGTCTTATTTCAAGTGCATAACATAGTATAGTAAAAATACTAATTCCATTGGCAAATCATCCTATTTGCCAACTTAAATTAAGGGTAAGTACATTTGAAAGGTTTTAATATTTTTGCAGCATTTGTGTATATGGCAGAAAATAGCCTTTAAAATACCTCAATTCCTTTCTGCTTGATTTTCCCTGACCATCCAAAGCCCCGGGTGTTCTCTGTTTTGATATTTGTTCTTCCATCAACCCTCCATATTTTCTATAGGATTATATTTTCTGGCCTGAGATGGCCATGGGTAGAAGGTTGACTGTATCTGCTGAAAAAAAGCCTTTTTTTGTTTTGACCTTACAATTTCGATCAATATCTTGCTATTTTACATAAGTATCTTTTGTTTGACGCCAAACCCACCTGGAGTGGAGGTTTAAATTTGACCTAGTTCCAGCTAAAGTACCATCAGAATTTAGCTAACTCCACATTTACATTTGTAACCACAGGACAGAAAATTGTTATTTTTCTGCATTCTTCAAACAACTGCTTGGCATTTTAGTTTGATATCAACTAAACACTTACATTTGAAAGTTGCTTCAGATAAAATCAATTTAGAAATTCCAGATTCCAGATGCATACACACTGATGGTTGTTATCTGTACTCAGTGACCCAAAAATGCTACTATTTCTCGAAAAATGACAAATAAAATTGTTTTAGATCTCTAATGTAAAGTTCCCAGAAAGTGAGCAACTTTAAAAAGTATCAGTACTGCGTGTTACTTTTGTTTCAGCTGCTTTTTTTTATGGGAACCACAATTGTTTTAAACGCATTTTGTTTTAAACAATTTCTATAAGTTATTTATTAGCAGCATTCTACTGTTTGAGGCCTTAGAAGTAAGCATACTCCCTACAATGGTGCAAGTCTAGCACCAAACTGATGGCCCTCTCCTTCATACCACATTGTTAGCAGAAATTAGTTTTTTAAATAGATACACCAATTTCTTTTTTTTTCTTTTTTTCTGACCTACTTCTGACCTGGATTATTAGTTTTTTTTATGTGCTCTTTTTAATCTGCTATTTAGGTTTAATAATCTGTTTCTCCTTTTTTAAGGAAACAAAAATATAATAAAAAAGACAAACACACAGACAAAACTTTTTCTTTCAACAAACTTCTTTCCCTTTCAAATCAATATCGTAATATTGACACCATCACAGCAAATTTGATAGGATTTTCTTCTTTCATCACTATAGTCATTATCCGTGATCAAAATCACCTTTATGCATATTTAAATGAACTTCTTGTTACATCAAGATGAACAGGCACTACACCAGTTAGGAGATAAAAGTACATCACTAACTATGAACATACATCTTCTAGATCGCTAATATGGGGTTTTTCACATTGTGAGCGGCAGCCCCCTGTGCATAAGGAAAAAAGGTCAAAATAAAAAAAAGCATTTAAATGTACACCTTTTTTACTGTCTCAACATAGTTAGATCTCATTTTCAACTCAACACAGTTGTACAGTTACAATAGAATATAATCTTTAAATTACATCATCATGTACAAATCTTGACAGCGTGGGATAACGTCACGCTTTTATGATACACGAACAGTTTTCATTGCAATAAAATTCATACGATATGGTATCTATTACTTAATACGTTTTCCAGTGCTGTCATTTAATGAAACACATTTACATGTATAACACTACATTTTGTCTTAATAGTCAACCACTTGCATTTTTTTTTTTCACTTTTTTTTGCTTGTTTTGTTATAGCTTTTTATAACATTTACACGACTCATACACTCTGGATGTTACAGATGCTTTAACCCAAAGTATTCACCTAGAATTATAAATAGTAGGATGTAGCAGATATTGTGTATATTGTAAGTTTACAACCTGTGCCTTTGTGTATTTGAGTATTGTGCATGGTGCATTGAGAGAGTGGGAGAGTTTGAAAACAGGAGTCTTTTTTTTCTACCCTGCTAGACAGGCTGATCTTTTGACGCACCTTGTGAGCTGGTGATGTGTTTTGTCCTCTTGTTTGAAACCTCTCCAAATCAGGATCTAAACGCCTCCCATCCCTGTTGGTTCAGTGATTTTTCTTAGAAGATGCTTATAGGTGGAACCTGTATCTACACAACACACTAATCAGCAGTTGATCAATTTAATGTTCGTATTAAAAGCATATATAAAAATGATAAGAAAATACCGTGCCTTGCATAAGTATTCATACCCGTTGAACATTTTCACATTTTATGAAGATTCAGTCACAAACACTGGTGTATTTTACAGAGAAACGTCTGGAACATCTGGTATACGTTTGTATTCAGTCCCTTATTTGCTAAACGGAGACAAAAACTACATGCAAAACCATATGTTTGGGGAAAACCAACACTCCACGTCACCATGAACAGACCATAGCCATGGTAATTCAACAAAAAGAAGTGTAGCAGCAACATGCTGTGGGGATGTTTTTCTTCAGCTGGATCAGAGAAGGAAGTTAGCGTAAATGATTGATTAAACTGGAATAAATACTGGGATAAAACTCCCCAAAAATTTGTTAATGGCAGACGACTTCTTCAAATTAGGCTGACAGTTCACTATCCAGCAGGACAACAATATATTTTATATATATTATATATATATTATATATATATTATACATATATATATATATATATATATATATATATATATATATATATATATATATATATATATATATATATATATATATATATATATATTATGGGAGGGTGAAAACGCAGACCTAAAATAAATTGAGAATGTGTGGCCTACAGGTTTGAATATCATCCTTATCTATATTGAAAAAAAAGATCCAGATGTTTAAAACTCTAGGACCTTTCCCTTTAATTCCAGGGAAAACTGTCTCCTTAAATATTGTCTCAGGGGGGCTGAATACATGTCCATACAACACTTCTATGCTTACAGAACCCCTGCCATTTTATTTATTTTTTCTGCTCTAAATGGTGTAGGCTTTATTACAAATAATCCAACTGAATGAGAAGTGTCATGTAGGATGAAAACAATCCAAGTGGTATGAATACTTTAACTAGGTACAGTGATTTCTTGACAGCAGAATATTATTAAAAACAACCATATACTGCACTGTCGGGGCATCTCGTATGCAGTGCAATACTGGAGACATGTGTCCTCTAGGTCACTGAGCAGGTTTTGCAGACATGTGGGAGTTTGCCTGGGCCTGGAAGCAAAAACGTAATCAGTGCATCTATTTCGTAAGATATGTGTTGTTAGCGTATGGAGTGAGAGGTGATGGGTCATTCTTTGGCTCAGCTGGGGAAGGGCCACATTACTACTGCTTTGTGCCAGTGAAAAGGGTTAGACATCTTACCCTCTTTAAAGCCCAATCACTAGTACATTCACGTCCAGTTGGAGAGGGGGCAATCTTTAAACAAATGTCTGTTGCACAGCTATCCACTGACATGCGGCAATATGCCCTTTGCTCTGGAAAAAAATAAGAGTCCCAGGCACATATTTTCCAAGACATCCCTTCTATAATGCAGTCTCAAGCTCAAGATGACTTGATCCAACTTTGCTCTGAAGTAATGCTTGTATGCCTTGGTAGCACAGTTTGATCAAAATGAACTCTGATTTGCTGAAGCATGAATGAGAGCTTCTGCAATAATTGTAAATCCTTTCCATGTATTTGCATGAGGATGATATAGTGAAAGGATTTACTGGACAACATAACAATAGGTTTAAGGACAAAACAAATGTGAGGTCAGTTCATCGAGAAGCCTTGTCTTGTGAAACCAGGAGCACATGCATGTCCAGAAGCACGTAATGCTGCATTTGTCGTTGAAGTGTTGCATCAGGCTGCAGCCTTAACGAGGCTGCAGGGACCCAGGGAATGTAACGTTTTGCATAGCAACATGCTGCTATGCAAGTTCAGAAACAGTTCGAAACGTATAGCACTGCACACACTGGAAAAATGGCTGGACAGAATTTAAGACGGGGGGGAAAAACAAAAAGGATACTGTCTGTGGTACAGTTCACACTACACAGCATTCCCACTGTAAGAATGACATAGACAGCATTAAAAATGCTACACAAAATGGCATCACACTGTATATACACAATGCAGGTTAGAGAAGCTCATCTATGTTAAATGAGTAAAACTGATTATACTGACTTCCCTTCAATAGAACACTGCAATACACTGTGTGTTAATAATAAGCTGCATTGTAAATCAAACACAGCCACATAAAGAAAGCAAGGTGTTCCTGCACTGTCTTCATGTTTTAGTTGAGTGTATACAATAGTACAACCGCTGTTTTTTTTAATGTGAAGCTTCACCCACCCCCAATGCTGGATAAAATATACTATACCGATATATTGTCTTTTTAGGTTACTAAGTTTTAGTTAGGCAAGACAGCTTGGCGCATCTGTTGGGCAAAGGATGTTCTGCTCTTAAGTCTCTGGCTATGTGCGGTGCAGTTGGACGGGAGGGTTCAAGCTGCCTTCAGCGGCATGTCTCTGTCAGGTCACGTGACTAGATTGCCTCCACATAATTGGCCGGGTACAGTCCCTCCTGGCCGCTGTCCAAACGTCCTCTACACCAGCCTTGCTCATCTTCATCCTCCGTCTTGGTAAATTCGTCACCTGTTTAGGAAATGAGAGGACTGAATCAACACAAATGAAAGATTTTAATTGGAAATAGTTTTGCTGGAGTATTTGAGGTACTAACGCAAATAGACTTTTCACTTTCCATGCTACTAATGAATACAAATATTTATATCTTAATAAAATGTATTTTGAATGCTAAAAGAACTCTGAAAGCAAAGCAGTTAATATATATTACAAAAAGACTCCAGTGCTTCAGACAACCATACAGGCCCCTTAAACTCTGCCTATGTTTCATAAAATTTCAACCAATATCTTCCAATAGTCAAAATCTGCTACCTTTGTGACTATGCAATCAGCCTTAGTCAATATTTCTAGATATTATTTGTTATTGCCATTACTGCTGCAATTATTTTGAGTAATGTCTCATTCAGCTTTAAGGCTCTAGAATCTCAGAACCTTGATATAATTTTAGATTAAGTATTTAACTGTTGTTCAAATGTTCAACGATAATTTTATCATGATTTAATTTATTTTTATCTTCCCAGAAATTAAATAAACCTGCATCATATTAATGAAAGTAAGCATAAAAGGAGCATATTTCTGTAGGTTTAGTTGTTTGCCTTAATTAGAGAAAAGTGTTCAATTTTCTATTATTAGGTCAAATATATTCTACTGTATTTAATTTGTCCAGTGTTGCTTTATCTACCCCAGTATATTAAATAGGTGTGCCTCAATCTGTTTTTGACTAAAAAGTCTTTGCATGTTTGTGGCCCTTGTTATATGCAATGTTAAAGTGCAAACAATTAAACAGGTCAAACTAAAAAAAAAAATCTAAATGTCGAACCTTATAATTCTCCCCACTTTGGAAACTCTTGATCTGAAACCTTTTATCATGGTTAAAGATGCATGTTTAGAGTATTTACCTTCCAGGAAGGTAAACCTCGGCTGAAGTTTAAACTTTATTAGTGCGTTATTTAAGTACTGCGCTGTATTTAACCTCCATCTGCATTTTCACCAAATCAAGCCAACCTCCTTGTTTCCCCAGTACATTTCTGCAGGACAAAAGCATCACATTCCATGGTGGAGGTGACGTGTTCAGGTGTTCAGGGTGATGTTACTTTTCCAACACGCATAGTATTTTTTATGTAGACTAAAACATTTTTGAATTCATCCAACCAGAGAGCCTTCCTCTACACATTGGGTGTCTTACTACATTTTTATGGAGAATTGTAAGTGGGACTTTTTATGGCTTTCTTCCGAAGAAAATGCATTCTTTTTTTCTACTCTTCCAAGGACAGGTTTGTAAAATGCACAACTAATCATTTTCCTATCGACTTAAGTTCTGTAAACCTGCAGGTCCTGTAGCGTACTGTTGCCAATTTTAGAAGAATTTTCAGATGAAACGTTCAAACCTTTATCCACAGCTTCATCCCTCAAATTGTTGATGCTGTTTGTTCCCTGATGTTCTTTAACAAGCATGTTAAGCCTTAAAAGACCTATTCTAATTGCACCAAATTAAATTAAACAAAAGCGGACATTGCACATTTACTAATTAGTGAATGAGTTCAAATTAAATTGGCTGGAATGGAAGTGAAGGCATAATACATTCTATTCTTTTCAGATGTATCTGTTGTAGAATAAAACTTGAAACCAAATCTAATTTCCTATCCACTTTACAGTTATTTATGTTGGTTTATCACAACATACGCATGTAAGATGCAATAAAGATTTTGTGTCTGTATCACTTTGCAAGATGCAAACTGCATTAGGTACATGGATGCTTTGGCAAGGGGCTTTATCTCCCAGCTCATACTATTGAGGTGAATATCTATGAACAACCAGAACAGTTTATTGTAGTTCTTTGTTAAGTTAGAGAAACATGGATGTTTTCTAGTTTTAATGCTTCAAACATCTGTCATGCATGTCGGTAAAATCACAATCATTGGTAAAAGAAATATGAACTTCAAAACAGGTTTCAGTTGTGGACATAAAGATCAAAGGTAATATTCACTTTATTACTCGTGCATGGACTTTTTAAGCTCTTTTTGGATTACCATTCAAGCAGCTTGAGTTAATCGGTGGCAAGCGCCTGTAATTTAGTTTCCAGCGTAAGCATTATTGACTAATTACTGTTATTTTTGTAGTGGAGGCTGGAGGACAAGTTGATTTGTGCTTCACCATGGCTTGTCATTGCATTCATGTTCATTGCTGCAATGATTACCTGCTTTGAAGGTGAGCTCATCCTGCTCTTGGCCATCATAGTCATAGAGGGCACGAACACGCACTCCTTTCCCAGTGCTGGAATCGTCTTCAAATGAATTCCTGTTCCCACCATTCTCATTGCCAGAGTAGGAAGTGGGCTGCTCGTCATCGGACCACTCGGTCGAATAAGCTTGGTTCTTGTCATAGCTGCTGACACTAAAAAAGGTATAAATGATGTTTGAAGTAAAACCCATGCAAAAAGCAATCGCTACAACTTTTAAAAAATGTTATTTGATGAGAAGTTTAACCAATGATGGCTTCATCCTAACAGGCTTGCTGTTAAAACCGTGAAATTGTTGCTTTATCCTTAAAATCACTATGATTGAGTAAAGGGTTTGGGTTTTTTCTATACACAGAGGAAAACAAATATATATAATTGAGATTATGTCATTTAAGAAGCAAACACTCGAAGGAATTCTTTAAGAAAATGTAAACCATGTAAACAGCCTTCTTCAACCAACCTGCTGCGATCACCAGGGGGAGCCACATGGTCGGTGCTTGGAGTAGGTGGGGCTCCGTCTGGTTTCTTCTTCTTTGGAGGAGCAGCTGCCTGGTCTGGGTTGTACTCCTGCACATCAATGTAACAACATAATAAATACATTTAGGAAACAGTTTTGTGAACTAGTTTTGTTCTGAATGTGGATATCATACCTCAAATACTGGCCAGTTCATGGGCATCCCTGGGCCATGATTGTTGCTGAACCACCTCAGGTCCTCTTGTGTGCTTATGGCCTGAATCGTGCGCTCTAGTTCTCTGTATATTGTGACATAGCTGAGGAGGAAGAGTGGAACAAATTGTGACAATGCAGGGACCAGATGGGAGCTCAGACCGCTGCCAAACTGGCACCAGGACTCACACGGTGGCTCAGATTCCAGACTGAGAGATCCGAGGTTAGGGCATAAACGGATTTTGTCTCTTTAAATTATCTGCCATAATTGGAACCCCTGAACTACTGAAGTATTTAGAATGTATCTAAATATCTATTATTATTAATTATAATTTATTATTATAAAAATGTGTCAAAAGTCAAAAAACTGACATAATAGCTTACAAATGTTTTCGTCAAACAGGAACATTTTTCAATTTTGTCACATTAAAGCCAAAACATTGATGTTTTCTGTGATGGACCAACACAAAGTACTGCAGGATTGTACAAAGAAGGAATATGCTAAATGGAAAATAAAAATTGTTGAACATTTTTATACCCCTAAGTGAATATTTTGATGAACCACCTGTCACTAGAATATGCTCCTTTGATATTTGTCTACTAGGTTTACACAGAAAGAAAATGAAATCTTAGCCTATACTAATGTCAGATTGTGTTTTAAGAGTTTGAGAATTAGTTTCTAAACCCAGAGAAGCCTTGTATAGCCTCTAATTAGTTTATTTATCATATCTTCTTGAACTCCACCCATATTCATATCTTTCAAAGTGGTGATGATGAGTTCAAACAACATGCTACACAATTAAAATTTTCGTTTTTCAACAGACAACAAACCGATACTTGACGTTTTATCTGACCAGAGCACCTTTCTTACATGTTAGATGTGTTACCCTTCATGGTCTTCAGCAAACTTAGGGTGTGCACCCTGGACTATGTTCATTATCATTATCTAAAACAAGCTGTGAAGGACTTAAAGCCTTATTTATAATGAAATTAGATTGCACATGAGGTGCCTTCTGAAGGCAATTCGTTGCACTTGATTTAATTGTGGTGTATCAAAGTAATTAAGCCTGAACACACAGCAAACCTTTTGGATTTACATTTTTAAGATTGTCAAGTGCAATGTGTTATATCCCTTCCACTTTACAGTACTGTTGGTCCATTGTTGAAAATCCGAGGAAAATATATTCCGGTTTGTGGCTGTAACATGATAAAATATGAAAAAGTTGAACTTGAAAATATACTTTTCAAAGCAGTCTAATGTAGTAGATTTGGTTAAAAGTAGTGCAATATATAAGTAGTAAAGGTAGCAGTAAGTATTGAATCAAATAGATGTTGCTGGATTAAAGAGTCTTCTAAAAGGCTAAGAGCCTGTAAAGCCTTTTGCTATGGCTTCTGGCTTTGTGTATTAGACACAGGTTAAACACGGCCCAGGATATGACAAGCATTCACTGTGAACCAAATTCATTTTGGCAGAAATGCCATTGAATGAATCTCTGATTAATTAGCGTTGTGAGGCAGATTGTTGATGACAAATACACGTCTGGTAGATACTCGTGTTGAAATAATTCAGCCTGAAGTGAATGGTAACGAATGTGACACAGGGCCAATCAAACCAATCAACTAACATTTTTTTTTGTTCCTTCACATTAAAGACGTATCTAAATGATTTTGTTTCCAGGATTGAGAACACAAGTTTTAAATTTGTTAACTTAACATGTAGTAACTAAAGTATCAGGAAGTCCTTATATATTAACATATTATTTGGTATTATGACTGAGTTCAATGGCTAGTGTCTTCTGTTAGTCGATTTGATTTATGGGTGATTAAAGTCCATAAAACTTAATTAAAATCTAAGAAGATGATTCCTAAACTGAACGTATTAAAAATAATCACAATTGGATACATCTGGATGTATCAATAGTTTGAAAAGGTCTACAGAAGAACAAAGATGTCCCCCTAAGATGAAAGGAAATATGTTTTAGAACCAGAAGCCAGAATGTACAGACCACAGCAAAGATTTATCCAAATAAAAGTAAAAGAAATTTTGAAATAAGACATTTTGTCCTTCAACTGAGCGAGCAAACGCAATTATCTGGCTATGCTACAGTATGAGTGTTTTCAACCCTTAAATAAAATATGTATATTTGCTTCTTTAATCTACATCTTCTTCCATTGGCAGATATTTTCCATACCAACTCAAAACAAGTGCAAATACATTCATGCCAATAAACTAACAAGTGTCACTGAATGACTAGTCAAGGTCTTTAATGGCATCCATATACTGTAAATGCAGGCTGTGGTAGAACCACAGTGCTGGTATCACGGGACCTTAATGCAGCATTCAACTGTGTTCATCACTCAGTTCTTTTAGAGTGCCTGGAGAACTGGGTCGGCCTTTCTGCTACATCTAAAAATATGTCCAGGATTAAAGGACTAAAGTTAGCAGGATCTCGAAAAAGTAATTCATGCGTTCATCTTAAGTAGAACCGATTATTACACAGATCTGCCTAAAAAGTTGATTAGTCTGCTGCAGTTAATCCAAAATGTTGCTGCAGGAGTTCTCACTAAAACTTAGAAACTGGAGCACATCCCCCCAGTTCTCAAGTCATTACACTGGCTCCATTTATCTAAGATAGTAGACTAAAAATACCTTTCTTAGTCTAGAATTTACAGAATCGCTTAGGAATCAGGAAGTTTGCTTAGATTTAGCACCACCTTGAGGACTGATGGTGTTAGGACTGGTGTGAAGGCTGATTCAAAACAATAAAGTAACCTAATAAGGTAAAAATACAGAAGTGTGACTTGTCTGTTAGTATTGACTAACTTTTGGCCCTCGGTTAGGTTTAGATGGCGTTTTATGTCCAACAAGGCCTCCTTGAGGAAAGTTAGCCTCTTGACTTCATGCTGCTGGCACTGGTCAAACACCTGCTCCATGCTCTCCATGTACTGAGGAGTGCACTTGTTTAACTCATCCAAGGACTTCTCATACTTCTCTTTAGCCTGGAAAAGAAGACAGAGAAAACATGACTGAAGGCAAGGTGTTTGAAATAAACAATTTCTGGAACATTTCAGCTGTAATTCTTTTAATTGTAACATTTTTAAAATATATAATCTGACAGAGAATGACGCTCCATGATGGAAGGGGAAATATTTTTGAGGTGTTTAAAATAAAAAAAAGTCTTCTTTCCTTCGATAACAATTCTGAAGCGAGAATTGAAATCTCAGCAAGTCTTAATGGAAGTGAAGGATTCAGAGCTGGTATGAAACATTGGTGCTGTTTTGGACTTTTAATAGAAACTTTGGCAACTAAAAAGAGTCATTTGGAAAATCACTTTAATATCATATTAAAACATTTTTGTGAAAGTAAAAGGATTCCTGTCAAAACTAGACAAAGGTACATATTGTAATTAACACTGGGTTAGTTTATCATGGATGTGTCCTTAAACAGTCAAGAAAATGGAATCAGGAAATTGTAGCTAACCAAGAATGCTTTTCCCGGAGTCCTAAAAAACACAGAAAATATGGAATATACCACCCCAGTTACTGTAATGGCTCCATGTTTATCAATGAATGGATTTCAAAATTCTTCTATTGGGTCGAAAGAAGCGAATGGCCTTAGGCGAAAATGTATTTCTGAGCTACTTGCCAAGTATGAACCTTGAAGTTCCCTCAAGTCTTCAGGGACCTGCTTCCTCAGTTTACTCAGAACCAGAGGCAGCATTCAGTTTATTTCACTCTCAGTTCTGGAGTAAAATGCATGAGTGCGAAAGAAGTGCAAAAACTATTGGTTCCTTTAAATCAATACTAGTTTTTTTTTAAATCAAATAATTTTCTGTATCATAACTGTTTCCTTCATTAAATGCTTTTAGCCGTAAGCTTAGTTGTTATCATTTTTTTTCCCCTTTGATGTTCTTAACCAGAGATCAGTAAATTATCTTATTAGTCTTATCTAATTAAATATAAGACTGTTTTTTATTTTACCTTTTGCGTGTCCTGTTTGCATTTGTCCACTTTCTCATGAAGTTTCTTCTGCTGGTCTGGTGTGACAGAAGCCTCAGTCTTGCCATTGGCCTCTCGGGCTGCAGCCAGCTTCTCCTCCTTGCAGGCCATATGGTACGTTTTCTTAGCTGCCTCCATCTACATTTCCAAAATCGTACAGGAACAAAACATAGTCAGTGACATAAAACCTTTTACCCCAAAATAGCAATGATCACCTTTTACCATATGCATCTCATATGTTAGCTCAGATCCTTTAGGGTAACTCAAAGAAAAAAAATGTTTTTAATCATAGCTCTAAACTCCCTAAACTAATACAGCAGACTACTGAAGACCTCTATATACTTTCTCACCTCTTTGAGCTTCTTGGCCCATGGTTTCTGAGCCTTTTTGAAACCTTCATCTGCTTCCTTTGCTTCCTTGAAGCCTCCAATCATTTGCTTATGATATGCCTCCTTCTGCCAGTTCTTGACTTTTTCAACATCTTCATTTAGCAGGTTGTTTTTCACCTCTTGGTGCAGCTCACTCACTTTCTCCGCCTCTGTCATGACTGCAAGCCAGGCTCTCTCCACAGAGCCATACTGTGGACCTAAGAGAGGCAATTTGAAAGTTTAGAACTGAGCATTTTAGTTCTAATACATGACAAATCAAACATCATAAAGTATAAATGTGGATTTAATAAGTAAATGTATATGATATGTACGTTATCGTATATAACTTTCCTGGTATCTTCTGTTAGTTAAACTAGTTTCTTGGACGCCAGAGTCCGAAACGTTTGCTTTAGGTATTTAACTAGACAAAGAACAAAGGTCTGATCCACAAAATCTCATTCATATCTTTAATATTAGGCATGCCTGAAAAGTATTTACTGATATACCAGCATACATGGCAAAGTTTTCTCTGTTATTTATTAGGTGCTTTAATTTCTTGACCTGTTTCCCTGTGTACTGTTCCTTCAACAGTAAGAGCATAATCCAGGGTAGGAAAGGAGCTCTGGACTGCTGTAATGAATCCGGACAGCCTTCAGCTTTATTGACATTATTGCACAGTGGATACATACGCACATGATTCACCCCGATCAAAGCATTATTTAGACGTCACTTATTGCAACTATCACTGATGCACTTAACTGTCCTTACAGATTTGAAGTATTCAGATCGAGCACTAGTCTCACCAAGGCTGCAACATAATTAATTAGATCAGCTTTGTTTCACATTCTGTGACGTAAAATCTTTCATGAATGTTGGTTTTGGCGCCCCAAATAACAGAAAAGACAACATATTTTTATTTAATTTAATGCACAAAAAATTATCTTTGAATACAGTATACACATTAAACCTTTGATGCTTAATAGAATGTCAAGGTTATGATTAAACTGCAAATAACAATGTTCTTCAAGTTTTCTGAACGCATCATTAAGTATCAGTTATTCAGATGATGTAATGAGCCGTTTGTGAAATGTTTTTTTTTTATATGTTTTCAAGAACAGTAACATTTAAAACGTAAGTATTCATAGATAGCTTTGTACTGTATAGTGCTTCTAAAGTACTTGTATTTATGTGTCAAATGTACTGAATCCTATAAATATTCCACTGTTACACTTTATGCTGATGATTCTGTAATACTCTAAAAGAGATTTTTTTTTAGACAGCCAGAGATGATGTGTTGTTTGTCAGGATTTGGTTGATGTTTTTGAGGACCCAAATGCAGAGGCAGGGAGGCAGAGGCGAGTTTCTTGAAGATTTAATTGAATGATCACAGACAACTGAGGCAGAATCCAAAAATGCAAAAATCCAACTTAAAATGTAACACAAACCAGAAACATGGAGACATCAGGAGAAAAGAGCATGTGGAGTCAGGGAAAGGCAAGGACAGATGAGGTAAGATGAGGAACAAGCACTGATGAACTGCACAAGGAGAGTATCTATGGGAGACTGAACAAAGAGAGGACTAACGAGCTGATTGGGAGCAGGTGTGAAGAGAGGAGCCTAGAAAGGAGCTAAGGAAAAGGAGACCAACACAATGGCAGCAAACAAAAACCTAAGAAATAAAATATGATCAGAAAACACAACAAAATAGGAATTAAACATTAAAACTAGAAAACATGGAGCAAAGTATAACTGAATACTCAAACGAAAACATAACAGAACCAAGACCCTGACATTGTTAAATTTTTACATACCAAATTTTTGATCCATCTAAAAAATTTAAATATAATTGATAGAAATATAATTGATTATTCTAATCAAACTTATTCAGAAATACACTAATTTCAAATGATTGGGTGATAGCCCAGTAAAGGCTGATAGCCAATGATTATTGCTATCAGCCGTGCATAATAACTTGGAATAAGACGAGAATGTAGTTCCGGAATCCGGTTTTATCCAAGGTCGAGTGACATCAAAGCGTCATTACATGCTGGGAGCTAGCTCCAGTTTGTTATTATAAATGTGGCAGAATATATTGCTTTCAAGGTGTGATACAGTTTAATGTTGGAGCATAAGGAATTTAAAAATATAATAAATGTTTTTATATACAAGAATTACATGCATCATATCTACACTATCCAACAAAAGTGGAATAATACAGAAAACCAAGGCCGACCTTAACCAACTTTCTTTTCTCTAATCACACCTATCAGCATTTATCCATTCTTTTACTTGTCATCTGATTCTACTGAGCTCTCCTGGTTACCTGGGCTGATTGACTGTGTTGCGCTCCTATCGTGTTTTTGTTATGTTCACTGCTCAGTTCACATTAAAATCCTGGCTCACTGTGTTTACCTGCTCCCGTTTCCCTTTGGGTCCTAAAACAGGATGTGACATATAAAGATTTTCTCGTCTATGTGAGTGATATAAAAGAAAAAGCAGCACAACAAGCATAGCTGTTATAACGATTAAAAAACAAACTCTATTCTTCTCAACCCATTTTATTCAGTAGGTTCTCCGACTGAAATTGTCCCACCATTTAGTATGTTCTATGTTTCTCTTGTTATTCTTGTCATTGAGGATCTGCCATATCAGCCCTTTTAATTGTCTTGCTAATGAACTCTGCCATATAAATAAACCTGCCTTGCCTTCCATTTCCTAATGCTTGTTTTTGTCAGGTTTATTTGGGATGTTTACCCTGGTTTGGTTGGGACCATGCTCTATGTTGTTATGTCCATTTTTCTGTGTTTCTCTCATAGTACCTTCCTCCTTCTGTCTCTAGTTAATCCCCCTCAGCTGTTGTCCATTTCTCATCTGATTGCATTAACCTGCTACTTTCTTTTCTTCTTTTTATTCAGTTGCAGATTGCAACAGTGAATTTTATGGCCATACCGCCACCTACTGTATGGGACGATGTAACATCAGTCATGTCGGTTGTAATTACTTAATTTTAAAATAATAATAATAATAAAAAAGCCAAAACATCCATCCATTCATCCATCTTCTAATACGCTTAATCCCAAGTGGGGTCGCGAGGGGTGCTGGTGCCTATCTTGAGCTGTCAATGGGCGAGAGGTGAGGTACACCCTGGACAGGTTGCCAGTTCATCGCAGGGCAACACAGAGTCAAACAACCATTCATGCACACACTCACACCTAAGGAGAATTTAGGAGAAGCCAATTAACCTAACAGTGATGTTTTTTGACTGTGGGAGGAGGCCGGAGTACCTGGAGAGAACCCACGTATGCTCAGGGAGAACATGCAAACTCCATGCAGAAAGACCCTGGGCTGGGAATTGAACCCAGAACCTTTGCTGCAAGGCACCACTGCTCCACTGAGCAGCAACCAAACAAAAAACCCTAAATCCTAAGTATGCATTTTACAAAGGAAAGTCAACATTAGGCCAGTGCTCATATTCAACATGAATAATTATTGGTTTCCTTATAAACTGCCATCCAATGCAAACAGGCTGATAGTTTAAAATATATACATTAAACCTGCTTACAATACTACATTATATATACTGGAATTGTTTCCAATAATCAGAAGTCTGCTTTGGTATCTGCCTTTCTCAGACACAGTATGTAACTGATGTGACTTTATACTACTATAAGATGCCAATTGTTATTTGCTGTTGCTAAAATATTAACTTCAAATAACCATTTATGTAAACCTTCTCTGATTCTATCTTTATAGTCATTTTATTTTAATAAAAAAAAAAGCTTAACCTTTTTCAATAAGTTGTCTCCATCTCTTAGACCAGGCAGTTAGTTGATCACCGTAAGCTTTTTCTATCTTGGCACGTTCTTGCAAGCAGCCCATCAGATCATTGCAAAGCCGATGACCGTCATCAACTCTCTTGACAGCACGTTTGTAGTTCCCCACCTGAGCACAAAAAGAGACATAAAAACACTTGAAACTAAATTCCCTATTCTAGACAGTGCGAAAAGCATTGAAGAAAATTATTTAAAATCTAACCAACACTGCTGAATATCAACAGAGTCAATATTCTGTAACTATACAACCCATAAGGAATACAGCACAAATATAAAAAGCTAATGCCTTTTATAATTAAATAATTGTTGGGAGCTGGAGAAATTCCACCTTTCTCCAGCAGAGTCCGCCGTGGATCCTCTGAGGGAGCCTCCTGCACAGCTGCAGCTCGTCAAGATCATCAGAGGATCCAATACTTAAGCTGTCTTCAGACCTTACCTCAACGCCGCAGTGTTGTTCCAGTTGGTCAGCGCTTAAGCCTAGATCCTCAGAGTATTTCGATGACTTTTGAATCCAGCTTGGATTCTAATCCCTGTTTCTGTTTTCCAGGAAACCTGTGCCTCCTCTGTGAAAGCTCAGGAAGAGCTAACCTGCCGAGCCGACCCTCAGAGCCAAACCTGAAGATTCACAGAGAACCTCCAAGCAGCTCTGGACTAGAGCTGGAAAACCCAAAGCAAAGGTCTGTTCAAATTAGACGTGAGACGCTGAAGCAGCAAACGGACTCTGCTGATGAACTCTTCTCCAGAACCAACAGTGACTCTCCTAAAGCTAACCTCAAGAACCCTCGAGGTACAATCAGTAAACTTCAGGAAATCAAACCTCCGTTGACAACGCTAACTGAACTATCTCTCACGCAGACCCCGGTGAACCAGAATCCAGGCCCCGAACCTGAACCAGTATATTCTGTGTGTTTGTCCATAAATAAACTGTTAAACTTTCATCCTTGTGTCCGTCAGAGGTGTTCTGCATTCTTGGGTCGCTTTTAGTGAACCCATCATGACAATAATATTTAAACTCTATATTCATATATAGTATGTATACATTTTGTTATAACCAAAAACTTGTATTTTATTTGTATTTCATAGGATAGAGCTGCACGATTATTAGGTTTTTTTACATACGAAAAAATGTTTAAATCTAAAATACATGGCATTCAATGGTATTCAATCTCACCTTTTCTGACACCCCAAAATAAAATCTGCTTAAATCAACTGATAGTAAAAGTCACCTTATCGTCACTTATGTTCCTATTTGTTCTATCTCAATATAAAGAAATCAATGAAGCCGTTCCAAGTTTGTCACAGATCATCACCGAACAAACAGCTCATAAGATTGTAGAAAAACTTTGTTTTTAAGTAAAATTAAAACCTGAAGCTTTAAAGCTACACAATCAAATTTCAGCAAAGAAAGAAACCAAAAGGTATAATCACCATGGATCACTATTTTTATGGTGCATAGTCGTGATATGAAACCAAATCCAAAGTTTATTTCAATTCAGTTTACACAGCGTAATGCCAGTTCACAACAAATGTCATCTCAAGGCACAGAGAAAATTCAAGTAATTCAGAAATTATTTTCATGTCTGAAACAACACTGAACACCATTTATCCTTTCCATGTAAAATAAATTAACAAAAACAAAAAAATTTTTTTTTTTAGACAGTAGTGTGAGAAAATAAGGAAATGTATAAGGGGTATATAAATGGCATTGCAAGACGGTGTAGTTACTAAGGTACAACAGCAAACCCCTTTGTCCAAAAAAATCCCTGAACAGTTAGTCCTATTTCAAAGCTTTTCTATTCTGCACAAATTACAATTAAAACAGACTAAAATTATGTTCTCAAATGTGATTTTTTTTTTTTTTTTTTTACCAAAGGCTCTCTGGGAATCAGTAAAACCATCAGGTTCTAATAGAATAAGGGTTGTTTATCTTTTTGCAAACATCACATAACATAACCCTCCCCTTTCGCAAAAGCCACCAAAAGGATGACACAACTGAGATTAAAAGATTTAGTAGGAAAGCCACAAAAAGGACAAACTAATATTTTTTTTTTGGTTTTTTATTCAACCTGGAAAAAAATGTCATTTTTTTATATTATAATTTGCAGCATTTTGTATCATATTCATATCTTAACTCTTGAAAGTTGTGAACTGTTATTTTAGCCTGCAAAATTGTTTCATTCTTCAACTGAATTTAAAAAGAATCCAAATGAAGTATGTAATTGCAAATTGTGGTTGTAATGTATAAACAATGGTTGTATTTATTTTAGATCCTACCACCTTAAGTGAAACTGCCTTAAGAAGTAGGAGCTTGCTGGATGACTCCGCCTTCATGGTGCCTGCAGGAGGTGTGAGCTCATGGTGCATGAAGGCAGGGTAATGGAGGGAGGGGATTTACTCGTGCCTGTGCATGTGGAGTTATGCAATGTCAAGGGCTTGTGCTTGCATGGGTACGTGAAAGCGTATGTGTGTGTGGCTGCTGTAATCCTCTTGAGTGGTATGATACAGCCAGATAGATTCTCAGGAATGGATGACGACGAGGAGGAGACAAAAATACCCCAGATATTCTCTCTCTGTGGCAAATAGGCTGTAGATGGCCAGCTAAGGTCTGAAATGTTCGCAGGCTGCAACGCTGTCCTGTGATTGGTCTGGACGCTGGCATGCCTGTGCGTTAACTGATTGAGATGAAAGCTACAGGCAGACTATGAAACAGCCTGTACTGTATGACTTGTCCTGTGTGACAGATCCCCAAGTCACACCACCAACAACATGAAGGTGGTCCAGTTTTATGAATTTCTCAGCATTGTTGGGTTTTAACAAAAGAGATTCAGTGACAGCAGTGGGAGAGGAAAAATTATTTCAGTAACATTTATATTTCTTGTGGTATCCTTATGTGTTGCTAGAGCAAAGATGCTATATGCAGGTGCATGTGGTGAAGGGCTGCTCCAGAGCAGCTGACAACTGAGTCTCTTTGTCTGAGCCTCTGCAGCAAAGAGAGCCATGACACAAATAAGTCTCTGTTCTGAGAGAATTCATTATAACTAATTTGGTGGGTGTAATGTGCCACAAACACACACACACATCTTCACACATGACATCATTAGCTGTCTACTTATAACCCAACTATAGAACAATATTTAATAAACTAGTCACTCCGCATCCTAATGATTTGTTGTTACCCCCCCAGAAAAAAAATAATATATATGTATAAACAAACCAGCTTACACCCTTACACTGTGAGTAAAATACACACAGAAGAAAGGAATTGCGTGACTTTTACATTTTTCACAGATTACACTTATATAGTCTTGAATATGAAAGAAAAAAAGGACATTGTGAGAGAATCATGAATACTTTACTGCGGTCTAAAGTTGTTTTGGTGCATACTGTGCCATTCTACCCCAATGAAAAAGTAGCGGACCATGAAGAGTGTAATTTTTCCCAGTGAAATTAATACTACATCTATATGAGCCGAAAAGCCGCTCAGCAAGGAAGAGGCCATTGCTCCAAAAGCAGCAAAGCAAAAGTTTGCAAATACACTATTAGAGAGGCTGTGGTTTCAAGAAGGCGATCCTGGTGTCTGATGGAGCTAAAATCAGAATTACTGTAAAAAGTGATCACATTTAGCCCCAGGGGTGACTAGTGCATTTCACAAAATTGATGAAAGTAGGGAGTTTTTAAAAGCCCACAAGAAATGAACCTCTCAAGATGCAGAAGAAAAGTTAAAGCTTGAACACAAGAGTGTCCTTCAAATTGAATTTACATAAAAACCTAAAATCTAAGTTATTTTATGTTAAATGGCTATTTTGGTCTTGCATGCATATGTACAAATAATAAGAATTTCATGTTTTACCTCCCAGAAGCTATCCATGGTGTCGTCAGCACCTGCAGATTCATCGTAGGAGCCAGACATTTTTCTGAATGTGGCAAAGCACTCTAATGACTAAACCTGTCCTCTGCAGGAGAGCTGGGTTCCTCATGCACTGAAAGAGAGCAAAAATCAAAACATGAGAAAAGTTTCAGCACACAATCAGAAACACAAAACGTTCCCATGTGTATCAGTAATTTGGTAGTTTTTCCTTTTTAAATTGAGGGAAAGTTTTATTGCAGCACAGGGGGATCTTCTGAGACATTTATAACAATGTACTAAAAATAGTCATCCCTACCAAGCACACAGTGCTGTGCCCTGAGGAACATTAAGGGGCATTTTATCTCGGTGTGTCCTACAAAAGAAAGCAGGAGCTATCATTTAGCTCTGGCCTAAAATCTTCTCACTATTAATCTTTTAGGATATGTTGCTTTGAAGAAATATTAAGCCCACACACAAAGAAAATGCAATCAGGATGTCCAGCCACCCAGAAAAAGAATACAAACAGACATTTGAACAGGATAAAGACACTATTTATACACCTTGTTGTGTTTGCTGATAATAATCACCAATTAGTTGGTTAATTCAAATTAGCTCTAACTTTCTTAAGCTTTTAAGGTGATTTATACTTCTGTGTTTGACATTTGCTCAATATCTAACCACCTTGGTGAAAACACACAACCCTGGTCTACGCTAAATTGTTATTGAATTTTTTCTGAAGTCTAATCCATTTTTCTCTCATGACTAATTTCTTTCTCCTGACAGAGAGCTCTTCATTGTCCTACAGCATGACAATGAAATTCTAAAGGAGGGTAGGTAGCAATGAGGCTTTCTTAATAATGTTCCAGCTAAAAAAGCTTTCTTAATCTTTAGAATTACAAAAAAAGTAAGGGATTTGAGGTATTATCTTAATGTTTCAAAATGATCTGTAACACTGATAATGTTTTAATTAGGGATGATGGAGACTTTCACTATAATATATCCCTGTTATGTTTACAGTTGATCATAAGACTATAAGAAGAATCAACAATTGCTTTCCAGTTGAAACACAAATTAGATTTATAATTAATCAACCTAATATCTGTTTTCAGCTGACCAAATGAACAGAAGTGATGCAGCAAATGTTAATTAAATTACACACAGAAAAGAAATCATATATTTAAAGCTACAGTGTGTAATTTTCAGCGACATCTAACGTCCATACTGCAGACCGCAGCAACATCAACATCCCCCCCCCCCCCCCCCCCCCCCCCCCCCCCCCCCACCGCTTCTCCCCCCCAACAGTACGGCGAGCCTTACGGGACAAAATGTCTTCCACGACATCCGCATCACCTACCTTCTCAAGTGATGAGGTTTGTTTACATAGATAATTTTACAGATAGTATTTCATTAGTCTGTGTGTTCAGTACCGTCTCAGTTCATCTCTCTCAACTTGCCGTAGTTACTTTCGAGCGTAATGGGCGATCTCGCAATCGCTAGTTTGTTGGCTCTGCGCTGCCGTAGCGCAAAGATGTCTGCCTCCATGGCTGCGAGACCCGCTCCTATGTAATTATAAATAACGAATTCTAAGGCAACGCAAATATTAAGGTTAAGAGGCTGAGCTCGTAGATGATGATAAATAACATAGTTATGTATAATATATTACATTTCTGACTGTATATCCCTGTAATTATTACACACTGTAGCTTTAAATGACACAAAGTGAAGAGTTTTAAAACTTGGAGATCTAAGAAAATGTTATGGCCAAGAACTGAGTTATATTATCTGTTTTAATTTTTAAGGGGAAAGGAAATGAGGAGACAAAACCATGTTTCCGATCCAGCTTTTTAGCACCAGAACTGGCAGATATAACCAAAAAGAGAACCTTACTGGTTCTTACTTAGGCTGTGTATATTCCTATTGAACGAGCCCTCTCAGCTAGAGACAGTCAGGTTTCTACAGTGGTGATTTTTCCCTGCCAATCAGTCGGGAAAACCTTCTCCATGGACTTTTTCAGTCTACAAACTCAGCTCCTGTGGGGTGTAATCAGAAATGGACTAGAACTAACCTGAGAGCTGTGCCTCATTCTACAGCCATGGATCAGTGTACTCTACAATCCTTTCTCCTACCTTCTATAAATGCCTGATACATTTTCTAAGCTGCAAAACATGTCAACAGGCTATCACTAGAGTTAATTATGACTTTTTTCATTTACTTTTTCAACTGTTACATTGAATTATTGACTTAAATTTACTTGCAATCTTAAATCTCTGGTTACGTTTTATTATAAATTCAATGAAAGTATATATTATCTGAATAAGATTATTCAGATAAAAATAATTGGACAAATAATTAACTAAGAAGGCATTTATTGAGCTCAACAGCCTTCCATCCTGGTTGGACAGACACTCCTCTTTCTGAGAGGTTGCATTCAAAATGTGCATTCTAAAGCAGTACTGTGAATAATAATATATAATAAATCCAATGTGCAGATTACATTAGATTGCAATGTTTAGTGGAATGCACCAAAACATTTTTCTTCATTCATTAATCTGTTCCTTTCCAAGTACAAATTAATTTCTATGAGATCATCCATTAGATTGAAATCACTTAAAACTATCTGCCACTCTTTGGTGGACTTTGACCAAACTTGTTTTGTGCACAAATTACAGCATACTTTTACAAATATTTAAACTGATAAACTAATTAAAAAAAACAGGATAGCAACTTAAGACATATGTTCAGGCTCAAAACATCATAGGGGAACATGTTGCATCTTATGTGATTGTATTAAGCCGCAGCAGCAGAGCAGGCAATGAAGTTGGGGTATCTACAGAACACTGATTTAGACGGACTGTGTTTTTATCACGCCCCTGGTTGCTATCACCAGTGCTCACACAAGCCTCTCAGCCTCTAATCATCCATGGCTTTTCTCCACTGGCTATCATCAAAAGTGCACTCTGGACTGCTTCAAATCACTTGAGTCGCCTTTCATGACTCAAAAGTTTCACTGCCAGGGTATGAATCAGAACCAATTCTTCCAGTCAGATGCAATGGAAGCACCAGTAAAGGATTCTTATGTATGTCTGAGAAGCTTTCATTGTCCTTCTATGTTCTACACTCACAACAATCTGCTCAGACTATTTCCCTGTGATGTGAGGAACATTGTGTTTTATCAAAACACCAATGTGGGTAAAAGAAGTATAGGCCTAAAATGATAGTAATTTGTGAATTAGCAAAAAGCATGTAATTTTAAATACATTTGAATGTTTTCAACAGAACACAAAATGAAACAAATAATTAAATAAGATTTTCAATCATTCTTTTAAGTAATGTTATCTAATGAGAATGCAAGGTGGCCGTTCGAGGCACAGTCTGCTATGCATTTAAGCTAGTTCAGGTAGTATAGTGAGTCTTATGCTTATTAAAAGGCACAATGTTGTTGGCCCCTACAGCAAAGATGTGTAGACAGCTTTTAAATAATCCTAGAAATAAAAGTATTCATTTTATTAGCCTAATTACAGACATTCTTATAAAAAACAACCCTTCACTTTAATGCAAATGGCGGTGGGCTCTCTATGTTATACATATATATTTAAACAACCTCTGCAGTCAGGAGTAGATGTTGCAACAGGATAACATCTACTCATATACTGAAAGATTGTACAGGTCTTAAGCACATAAACATATAAATGTGGGACCATTCCTCCTCTGGCTTTGTCTTTAAATTGTCTAAAGTCCAAAGGTAAATTTGAGGACTACATTTTTCATGAATGAGGGTTAATTTGAGTCTGGTTATTAAATATTGCTAAAAGACCAACAAACAGATTAGGATTTTTTATTTAACAGGTGTTATTTATTAGATTTAAAGTGGACTATGATGCTGTGATCTTCAACAAGACATTCAGGGTATTTGACATGGAACCATGCTAACAGCCTCAGATCCTCTAACACACCTACCAGTAGGGATACAGTATTTTTCCTTTGTTGCCAAAAAAAATCTTATCTAAACAAAGCAATTTCCAGTCAAAGGCTGGACATAGTTCAGAAAAACCCACATGTTTACATTTGTGATGGTAATAAAGAAAAAAATCTATTTTGCATCCCTACTAAAGATGAGATAACATTAAGATAGTGTTTAATAGTGGGTATGGAGGCCTTATGACTTATGAGAAGGTGATTGGCTGCAACCTCCCATCTCTCCAGGAGCTGCACGCCTCCAGGACTCTGAGGCGTGCAGGGAAGATTGTGGTTGATCCCTCGCACCCCAGTTACAAACTATTTCAGTCACTACTCTCTGGCAGGAGGCTGCGGTCCATCAGGACCAGAACCTCCCGTCACAAAAACAGTTTTTTCCCATCTGCTATCGGCCTTATCAACAAGGCCAAGACCCGCCCGTGACACTGGACAATGTTTCTCTCCCCCATTCAGGATTTCTGCGTTACATTAACGCACAGTCTACTATTTGTATATAGCTTCTGTGTATATATATATATATATTTATATTCTATCTTATTTTGTTATTTTGTTTTGTTTTATTTGTTTTTTTTTTGTCTGCACCAACAACACCAAGTCAAATTCCTTGTAAGTGCAAACCTACTTGGCAATAAACTTGATTCTGATTCTGATTCTGATGTTGCCACTCTGTTGCAGTTTATTAACAGTTAGCCTTTGAAAGGGGGAGCCGAAAAAAAAATTGGCTGCCAAATTCATGATGCAATACAGCCTCATACAGCAAAAAAGCAGAGCAGGTACAGTTTTAAATCCCAGCTATTATCATTGGTCCAGCTACTTGTCCATCAGTCTGGGCATCCTATAAGCTTCAGCATTCGTGACAACAATACCTATTAACCTGAAATCCATTTAAGCACTGACACAAAGCCTGAATCCAAATACAGTGCAGGCTTTGTTTATCCAAAATTCATATGCTCCAGCCAATTTAACACAACGCCGATTTTTGGCAAGAATGTTGAACATTTCTGTTAATCTGCAATGTTGTTTTTACACACATTCAAGCTTCAATGAAGCAAATACATTTCTGATTGTTTTGTACCTGTTCATTGTTAGTGTTGCCTTTGCCTATCAGGCTAGAGAGCAAGAGGAAAATACTCCACAGAAAAGTTACAGTTTTGGTCT